GCATCTAATGCCTGGAATTGAATCCGAAACACTCTTTTCTTTTATTTTCTTCTCGGTTCTTTTCTTTTTCCAAAGTGTTCCTGTGCATCGACTTTGAACGAGGTGCAACAGATTTTCTGGAGTGGGATTACTAGGGTCAGTTGCGGACGCCAATCGCCCTACATCGCATTTCTTGTGACTGGGCCCCGTTTTGGATTGTGCATAGGGACAAACACTTTGGCTGAATGTAATTGGAATTTCACACACACACACACACACACACACACACACACACACACACACACACACACACACACACACACATCTTTTCCCCGCGCCGACCCCCCTCCCCCCCCTCGGGGGGGGCCTCTCCGGAGGTTTGGGAGCCGTTGCAGCTCATGCTGCGCGGTCTGCGGCGCTGGGAATCGGTGTTCCCTACCCCTCCGGACCGCGCAGTGCTGTCTTAGTGCGCAGCTTGGATGGGAGTTGCGCGGGCGCCCTGTTTTGGGCAATCCCACGCTCTCCCCGCCTTCCGACGCCGCCCGCCCGTCTCCTTCAACGTCTAAAGCGCCCAAGAATGAGGGAGCAAGGCTTCCAGGCCTTGGAGTTCGAGTTGAGGGGGCGCCGCTTCGATCGGCGCCCGATTTCCAAGCGATCTTCGATGATGGCTGGCTGCCCATCGCAGCCTCGCGGACCTCCTTTTCGACCTCCGAATTTCTGAATCTACACGAGCCGATCGAGTGGCCCGGACCTTCCAAGCGGACGGACGAGTCGCCCACGAAGCGCAGCCGCTGGCGCGGCGTTCGAAGCTGAAGATCGGAGGCGGGAGAGGGGGAGGCGAGCCGGGATCGACATGGCTACATGTCGACCATCTGGGGTGGGCGGCGATCGACTTCGCCGCCCGATCCCGGACTCGAGGGGAGCCGAAAGTCGCGGAGTTTAAGCCCAAAGAGGGCCTTTGGTCGTGGAGCACGGCGGTGGGTGGTGGGAGCTCGGCGGCCAAGCTCCTCGCGCTCGCGCCGCGGCGTGTGGCGAGGGGGTGCGCCGGTGACGGGACCGGTGATTGCCGGTACGGGAGAGCCGCTTACGTGAGGCGCTTTGGCGCCAAAGGAATGGATGCCCATTTGGGCAATTAAGAAAATTGAAATTTCTGAGTTTGAGGCGCTCTCTTGCACTAGTGTGTGGTTGAGTGAGGGGTGGGGCAAGGTTCCCCCTGTGTGCTTTCTGTGTGTTGCTCATATTTTTGATTGCTTGGGGGAGGGGAGTTGCGGGTGTTGATGCGAGGTGTGTTTGGTGCGGTTTTGGCTGCCCGTATCAAACCAGGCTCGAACGACTCGCGCTTGGTGAATGCATTAGCTGCACGGTTGTGGCTTCCCGGGCAGCTCATAGTGTGTCTTAGTACAGCAGGGCGCCGACTGACTGCGGATGTGGGCCTGCCCACCCCATGTCCTTTAGTCCATATCTGGCTGATTGAGCCCACGGCCGGTGAGGGCGCGATTGGCAGCCAGGGTCCCCCACGACGGAACGGACACCGAGTAAGAGAAGCCATGGGGGAATGGGCCCATTGGGTTTGGCCATCTAGTGAGCCCCCCAGGTAGTTGCTACTTGGCAAGTACCCCCTTCAGCCTTGCAATGACTTGAACCTGGGTAGTCAGAATTTGGGTGGCATATGGCGAGTGGCAGCATGACGTGGATTGGGACCACCCCGCCTTTCATATTGAGATCCTATTGAGTTATGTGAGATTGCCAATTTGAGGCGGTGGGAGTTTGTCTTTTTTCCTCGAAGTGGGACGTTCGATGGCGTTTGGGGACCTGGAGGTTCGCTCTTTTGCGGATTTCTACCTGGCAGACACTTCATTCTCTGTGGGGGTCTTCTTTTCTTTTGGGGTGCAAATCTGAGAAAACAATCCCGATGTGCCCGTTATGTTTCTTGAACACTATCGAGAGGCGCCGTGACCTTAGTTGTTGGAGCGTCATATTTAAGGAAACTTGATTGATTGATTGATTGACACACACACACACACACACACACACACACACAATTTCTTGCTATGGCGCACTCCCGCTCTTTCTGGTGCTGCCTCGCCCCGGGCCGTTACGGCGCGGTTACGCGGCGTCACGGGGGATGCCAACCCGCTTGGCGCCCCCGCGCGACCCCCCGCGGAAGGAACTCCCCCTGGGCTCCACGTTTCCGCGGAGGCGGACGCGTTCGCGAACTACTGCGCCGAGTTGGCGCGTCGGACCAAGCGCGTGCTTGTTGCCGAGTGCCACCGGCTCGGGATTCCGGGGAACATTAGCGTTCCCAAGGCGGATCTGCTGCGGCGACTACGGGCGGACCTTACGCGGCGGCGAAGGGACGCCGCAATCGCGCACGCAACGGCGGACGCTGCGACCCAGCCGGTCTACAGGGGGGGCCCTGAGCCGCAGGCCATTCGCGGCTCCGAGCCGCAGGCCATGGATGCCGGAGGAGGACCTGCCCCCCGCGGTGCTGCACCCGGATTCGCCTTGCTTCCCGCCGCCCAAGAGACAATCCCGGACGCCTTCCCATCCGACCCGACGCACGCTGGAGATGCTGCACGGCCGTCCTCGCCGTGCAGCTCCATTCCCGCGGACTCCGGTCCCCCCCCTCGTTGGGACCATTCTCCCGGCGCCGAACGGCGAGACACGCGGGGGGCTCTCCCCCGCACCTCCCCGCCGTCAAGGCACCCTCCTGTGGATCCGGGGCACCGCCCTGCGGGCACCGTTCTGCCCGCATCGCGAACTTGCCCCGCGCAAGCCATGGATGGCGCGCGGAACGACCACCCCGACCGGATGGACTTCGCGGACCGGTCTACCCCTTCCCCCGCCGATCAGGACCCCTTCAGCGCGGATGCTGCCACGCCCGGCCCCTCCAAGCGCCCGGCCCCCGACCCGGATGGCGGCCTCCACGACTTGGAAGCGCCCCCGACTTGGCGACGGCGCCAAACGGGCATGTACCATGCCCAGCTTCAAGCGCGGCGCATGTCGCAGTATGCCGCGTCGGTTCGCCCGGTGCGCCTTGACGAACTCCTTGCGCTCCAAGCCGAGCTCCGCCGCCTCAACGTGTGCCTTCGCGGCCTCGTTGACGCCGAAGACGAGACCCAGGAGGACCTGGGGGCGAAGGTCGCCAGCGCCTTGGCGGCACTCGCCGGCGGCCCGGTCCGGACCCGGAATTGCTTCCGGGCCGGACGTTTTTCATCATTGCGCCCCCGCCCGGTCATTATTGCTTTTAATGACCTGGCGACGAAGGTGGCGGTCCTCAGGGCCAAGAAAAAGCTCTATTCGGACGACTGCCCGCCCGACCTGCGGGGCATCAGGGTGTACCACGACCTGTCCCCCATCCAGCTTCGGTGGAAGCTTCTGCTGAGACCGTCCTATGAGTTTTTCCAGGACCAAGGTATCCGTGCCATCTGGAGGAACGGATACAGGCTGATGGCCTATACGCACGGAACTTGGGAGGAGTATATTCCCAGCGAGATTTTGGTGTCTGGAGCCTGTGGTTACTACTAAATGTGTTTCTATGTTTTTCTCTGGCTTTGTTTCGAATGGATTTCTTTGTGTTTTCTAATTAAAAGGGTAGTTTCTTTGGAACTGGTGGAAGCTGGAATCTTGATGGCGAGCCGGGTTTGGACATCCCGTTTTCTTTATTTTCATGGGGACATGCTGCTCTGAACAGATACATGATGAACATTTTGTTGTATCTGCCATGGGTCCCGGGGCTCTCTCCTGCATAGCCTCATGGTTCAATGGGGTTGAATAGGAGGATACCAAGCCTCGTTATTGTAATGGAATTTCACTCACACTCACACACACACACACACACACACACACACACACACACACACACACACACACACACACACACACACACACACACACACACACATTCTTGGTCTCGGTTTTGAGTTCTGATAGTGGGAATCATTCAGACATTTTGGTGATCAAGAACAGAACACGGTTTCAGATGGCTCCACATGGCTTCAGCTGCCGCGGAGCTCGGTCAATGTAATTTCAAACCGGAATTCAACAACAACACACACACACACACACACACACACACACACACACACACACACACACACACACACACACTCTCGCTGTGCCAAAGCCAGAATGGCACATGATCTCAGCCGTACAGAATGTGCGATCCACGCACTTTCCAAGTTGATGCCAAATCTTCAAGCAAAAAATATACAGCATTTCCCCAATCAAAAAAGGAGGGTGCCATGGCAGCACCCAACCATGGAAATCGTGCACCCTAGCTGTCCGCTGCTACATCGGCGCACCACTGTGCGCATTCCCCAATATAAATTGCGAGCTTGCCCACCTGGCATGATAGCATAAAGCAATAGTGTATTGTTCAGGTCAGTTTCAGGCCGATGTTTTTGAGCTGTGCCAAATTCTGTGCTGGAGACAGAGGACTAGAGTCTGCAGCATGGAAATAGAGTCTGTGCATCAAAATTAAGCAAGTCATCATGCCATGCTGCCCTGTTCAGCTGCATTGTCAAGAATGCATCTGTGCGACATCCAAGCTTCGATTTGTGGAGAATCCCCAAGCAACAGTCAGTGGAAGCCCATGCTGGCATCCACAGAAGCGGGACAACACGCTTCTCCTCTCTGTAGCAGTCATTCCTGGGAATACAGGAACTGAAGGCCCCTAGCAGTCATTCCTGGCAATACAGGAACTGAAGGGCCCCCAATGATTGCAGCATCTCACCCCCAGGTAATGTCCCTCACCTCCCAACTGACCCACAGGTGCCTCAACCTGCCGCAGCAGCCATTCTGTCCTCTTGCTGCTGCGGCGGCCTTCACACCACCCTCCAATGCATCGGGATGGCCCCGCCACTTCTACACTCCCCCTTGTAGCATCGCGCCACCATCGAACAGCAGCTGGATGGGCATTGTGCGCCATGTCTTGGCAAGTCGCATCCAATGTAGCACCTCTCTTCCCACGCGAACACAAACGCTCTGTTCATGTAACCACCAGTCGTACACCCCTCTTTCTACTCAGTCATCGACTCCCCGTCAGCATCCTCATCATTGTCATTTCTCAAGCCCGTCTCCTCCGTCTGGTAGTCGTCGTCGCCATCAGCAGGCGCACCATCAGAGTCTTCAGAGTCATCTGGGAACTCTTCCATGGACTCAGACATTCGCAGCTTTTTGAGGCTGGGGACAGTGACATCATTCATGCTCTCAGCCACCATGGCTGTGGTGGGGGCCAGCCCCACAGCATCGGGCATCTGTAGATCCCTGCTGGTGGCAGGCGTCAGTGGCCCACTGCGCGGCACAAGACACAAATCAGGATTGGATATGATGCTCCGGCGCCGTGAGGTTTGGAGTGCTGTGAAGCGCAGCAGACCTCAGTGTACTTGGGACCAGTGTTGGTCCCTATGCAGGTGCCATGAAGTGCCATGAACACCCAACGGCTCCGATGCAGAGCAGGATTAACTTGCAGCCATCAACAAGGACGAATGAATTGTAATATTCGAAAGCCATCATACTGTGCACAAAGCCCTGTTCCATACAATGGCGAGCCCATGATGGGCAACAGAGATACGCAAGGGAATCAACTACAAATAATGCGGAGGGTGTTGCTGTGCTGCTGCATCCAAAGAAAACTAGTAAAGAAGAACGCCATAGAAGAAACAAAGGAAAACAAAGCGTTCAGGAGAACAAAGAACACCCAGCTGCAGTGGCACACTCGGTTGGCATTGATATCAACAACAGCATCAGTCTGACAGCTCATAAAGTGACAAGTAGGAGAGCATCCGATGCCAACCAGTCAACGTGCATGTTCCCATCACTCCCTGACAAACAGGCAAGCTGCCAGTTGCACAGGGTTGTTAATGACTGTAAGGCTGCAGGCAGGGCGAAAGCACATTTAACCAAGACACTCCCTGTTGCATGCAAGGTACATGCAGTGGAATCCTGAGGTGGAGCTTCTTTTCGATTGCCTATGACAGGCATGTGATTGGCATCGCCCTGGCAAAAGGTAAAATGGAATACTGCTTGCGCAAAGCAGAAAAATTATGCCGCACGGAATGTGGTTGCCATTCAGTCAGTGGCATTGCCCATCATTCCCACAAAGTCCAGTCCTGTCTAGGCTAAGCCCAGGACACGATGGCCCTGGCTCAAGTGACTGGATGTCAAAGCTGCAGTTGGCATTGAGGAAATCAGAATGCAGTTTCATCATTGAACACTCTCTTTGGCTGTATGTTGCAGTGAACTCGTTACAGCGCACACAGCAAATGTGGGCAAAACAAACAGGAAACAAGGCTCCTGACAAGCAGCAGGCCAAAGCCCCACTCCCCAACAATGTGCAACAAGCAAAAGAACACTGCTTTGTTGCATCTCGAAGAATGCAAGCAGTCGCAACAGCACAATGCTCCTCCTTTACCAGTGGTGTCAACGATCACACGCAATCATTCAACACTCAGGACCCAATCAGCCAGACCCTCCATCGCCATCCCCCACCTTGCAAAGTCCTCTGGCTCGAACTTCACGCCGCCATCCCCACCCACATGCCGGCCACTGTCCTTGCCCTCAAGCCTCTTCCCACCACCGCCACCCCCCGCCACCCTTGCCGGCTGGGCCCCCTGTCCCATCGACCCTACGCTCCCCGCGTCAACCTGCCCATTGGAGGCTGGCACCATCCCGGCCTCCCTGCCGCCCAGGGGTGTCATTGGATGGGCAGGCATGGGCCACTCCTCACGAGAGTGCACCACAGATCGCGCTCCAGGGACGGCCGCCCTGATTGCAGCAGATGCATTGGGATGAGTCGCCTCCACAGGCTGGGCCGTGGGAGGCGGCAGCGCGGGGGGGAAGGACACGGCACCGGCAGCGGTGGGGTTGCTGAGTCTGGCGTTAATGTACTGGAGGTTGTGCGAGGGGGTGCTGTAGGGGTGCGTGGTTTCGCCAAAGAAAGTGTACATGCTGCGGGAGGCTGGTATGGAGGAGACATCGGGCTTTGGTGGGGTGCGCAGGGGCGACACGTAGATTTTCTTGCCAGGCAAGGCCCACCGCGTCGACGTCAGGTCCTGACTTAGGAAGGGGGCAACTTGGTGGGCAGGGAGGGGGCTGCTGGCGGACACCGATGACAGGGCTTCCGATGCCCTAGGCAACATCAACGCATGCTAGCTTTCAAAGGGGGCGCGGCATGGGCAAAGCGGTGGGAACAGAAACACAATCATGCCTGTGGCAGTGTGCAGAAGCCTGCCACGAACTCGCCTGCACAGGAATTGGGGGCTGTGCGGCATGGGCTCGTGCTGCAAAAATTAACATGGTGTCACAAGCAATAACCAGATGTCAAGGGAGCAAATATGCCAAACAGACTGCCCCTTTCTGCACTTCCTCAACATGGTGCTGCAGGCATAATAGAACATTACGCTCCAGGGCACAAATGCATTTTGGAAGGCCGTTGGCTCATATGCTCATGCTGGAATGCACATACAAGAACATTCATGCTCAAGCACTGCTGATGATATAATGCATGCCATCGTCATGAGCTTGTGCAAAGGCTGCAATTCCAGTACACTAGCAAGTGCATTGCAGTGGACTGCCCCTGTCCAGCAGGACTGCAAGGTATCTAGAGAGCATGTAAACACAGTGGGCAAGGATAAAATGTCTTGAATTCACCCCATCCCCATATGCCTGGAAACGTTTTGTTCCTGTCAGTTGTGGCTTAAGCACATAGCTTGAGACAAGCCCTGTGTGAACAGCAGAGCACAACACAACTGGAGAGGAACACCACTGCTGCCACCCCATGCTGCCTTGCAGGTGATTCAGGATGCCAGCTACTCATGTAGGAGTGTGTAGGAGCATGTGATTGGCAGCAATGAGTCAGATTTCCTTCCCTTTTGTTTTGTAGTTTGTGAGTGCATTACTGCTTACAGTACCTGAATATTGTGTGGCTCACATACATGAGTTCCTGTGTCAGAAAGACAATACTGCTCACCCTCTTCTGACAGGCGTCCCAGTGCCATTGACGGCTGTGGCATCCCTGCCTGCATTTACAGTGGCAAGGAGATGGTTGCGCAGCGCAGGTACAAGCACCTGATTGTAGAACTCGATGATGTCCCCAGTCCTCTCGACCTGCATGAACCAAGAAGAAACCAACATTCAGCCATCAACAACATCGCCTCACGGGCAGAGATGCAGGGCTTTGCCATTCCGACAACTGCGATCACTGAGGATTTGCTTCAATGAGTATGCCTATGTATTGTTCGACACATGAAAGCCTGCTAACTTTCAGATAGGGCTCTGCGATGTTTGCAGTTTCTGTTGCCAGAGATGAGTTGCACTTTGCCATCAAGGCCACAACACAACGACTGCTTGACAGAAGGGAAGTTTAAGCAACCCGCAGAAACAAACAGCCACAGTGTCCAATTTCGCAATGGGTGCAATGTTAGCATTGTGCACTGCATTGTGAATACACATGTACATCAAAGGGAGCCATATGAGGACTGCTTCCTCGTCTTACGGCCGCACCATAGCACATTCTCCCCTGCTTTGTGGCTGTGACAAGTTTATTTACACATGATTTCTCTGCACTTCTGGCAGGAATGAAATGGGGCAGGATGCTGCCTATTAGATACGAATTCATCACTGTATGGGATACAATTCCGCTGATGTGCAACCCTCACATATCGGTCCTGAGCATTTATGGTGTGGAGCTCGAACAGCAACACTTCCAGATAAAATTCATGTGGATGTCAACAGTGCTCAAAATCGTCCACTGGGTGGACTGGCAGTGTGAAGCACACTTTCAATGAATGCGATGACTACAGAGATACAAAAAATATGCCCAACGCCCATCATTCCAACAGGCCCATACAGCAGGAATCTTGACCTTCGAACCCAAAACGTGCTGCACTAAGAATCTCGATTGATTGCCACCTTAAAGTCAGGCTCGCTCTGCTGCAGAATGACTGTCTTGTACACCTCAGGCTTGGCGTGTGGCTGCCTCTTGTATTGGTGTATGATCTCCCTGAAGGGCACATGCTCCAGCTGGTTGACCTTGCACACACCGTACAGGGAGCTCAGCAGGATCTGGTCTAGATGCCGGTTGTAGAACAGCTCGGTGCATTCGTACAGGGCAAACTGGATGGCGTTGAACACTTGATGCAGCACGTCGTTCGCACTGAGGGGGTCGAAGCACAGGTGCTGCCGCAGGTCCATCAGCCGCAGGGCGCTCAGCTTGAGCACCTTCCGGAAGAAGTCCCCCAGAACGGTGCGGGCAGGGTTGGGTCGTGCAGGAGGGGGACCATGGCCAGGGCCACCTAGCCGCCTTGGTAATGGACTTGTGGACGCCTGGAGCTGGCTCGATACGGACTCTGCAGGATTGGCAGACTCTCCACGCACTGCCCAGACGACAGAGCAACTCAGGGATTCAGTTGCAGCACAGAATTGGGACAAAGATGAATTGAATATGGACCAGTGTTGATGCCCAGACCATTGCTTTGCAGTTATACAGCTGATACCCAGATCAGGGAGGAACTCAAAAGCCAACATGCCTTGTAGGTCAGTTGTCGAACAGTGGCCAAAGCAAACAACAATGCAAGCTGGCAGATGCAAGGTCCCCAAGGAAGGGAGGGGTGCAGAGGTGCATGCAGAGTGGTGTACCTGATCTCAGAGGAGAAGTGAAGATCTTGAAGGCGGAGTTGGGAGACAGCGACAAACTAGGCACACTTGATGGTGGAAAGGGATGCACATAACTACCACTGGGGATGGCTCCCCGAGGGTGAGGATTTGGCGGGGTCTCTGAGAATGCAAAAATGGCGTGAAATCCGTCGATTAGTGCATGTCCATCGATTGCTGACAAAAATCAATCTCCCACACAGGCAGAACGCAGAAACACGGATGCCCGATCCCCATCAACAACACGTTCAACCATAAAATACCCAGTTCAGTAAGAAGTCACAAAACAGCTCAACAGATCCCCAACAACAAAACAACTACACTCACAAAGACTTCACCCACAATAGACTACACTCACAACAAACAAATAGGCTCACAACAAAGATTGATGATATAAACCTGGCCACACTAAAAGATCTTCACATGCTTGTTGAGTCCCAGCCTGCCCATTGCGAGAGCCTGCCTTCCCAAGGCGATTGCCAAAGACGAGGCCACATAAGTAGATTGAATGGTGGACAACCCAGTGACACATCCTTACGTGGTGTCTCTGGTGGCTGTGAGCCGGATGTCGAGGGCGACTCGTTGGCCACAGCTCCCCTGATCAAGTTGTAGATTGATGAGCCAGGCTCCCAAGCCAAGCACTCGATGATCTGCTCTTCCACTTCAAAGAGGTGCCGCTTGAGGTGCTTGGGCAGATTGGGGGTATTCTTGACAAACAGCTCTATCACTTTGCTGAAATCGAAGGCCTTGAGACCAAGACGCTTGAGTACCTCGGGGAAGGCATGGGAACTCTGCACACCACCAGGTGGGACTCACAAGTTCGAACAAGTGGGACTGTCTAGCTGAACTTTGTGAATAAAATACCTATGTATGCACTGTACTTGCACTCAGCTCCTTGCAGAATTCTCCACTCCAACTTACTGTGCACAACCACATTCGCATCCAGACAGCAAGCACAGAACAGCAGATCTATTGTCTGGTCATCAACTATATTTCCTTCATTATTCATCGCCATTCAAAAGTCCTTTGTGGTCGCCGTCCCAAAGGCAGCAACGACATGTGTCGTGCGCCGTTCTTCAGCCATGGTCATATTGTGGCCACAGCTGCACTCGTTTCTTTGCCATACATCCTGGAACCTCTCGCACCATTTGCCTGGTGTCAACCACGATTTCAGCAGAGCATGCCAACAGGCACTGGTGGAAAGACTCTGATGTGAGCAACGATGTGAAATTCTTCTTGTGCGTGCGTTGCTCCTCTGCAACCAGGAGCGCTTCCAGAACCTTGTAGTACACCTTCACGGCCTGTGCACCACACGATAATCGCAATCGAACTGTGCAACAGGTCAGATGACAGGCAATAGGCAGGTAGGCAACCAGGAAACAATCAATGGTCACTCTGTGTTGCACAGCCGCTGCTCTCTGCAAAGCACCTTTCCGCTTCTGCAGACTAGCACACTGAACACAGATTATTCATCCTTTCTCAAAACTTCCGGCATGCAGCAGCTGCTGGCAGTTCACCATGGCTTGCTGGAACTGCAGCCAAGCCTCCACAGCAGCACTGCACTTACACTGTGCACAGGATCTCGGAACCACATGTGCCCATACTGTGCTAACAGCTTTACAGGGAATGGGGCTGTGAAAATCCGTATCAAAAGGGCAAGCACCAAAATCCGCAAGCAAAAGGGCAAAAGGACAATTAACAACAGGGCCATGGCTCTTGAGCCTTCCAGGCGATGGATGGACAAATCCAGTGCATGTTTTGTTCAATGTCCCCACATCGCAACACCATCCACTGCCCTGTCTCTTGTCATATTTTGACATATGCTCACCAGCACAGAACACTCCCCATGGCCTGTCCAGCCCTGCTGTGGTACAGCAGTGGCGGCAGCCCCAGCATCGCCAAAAACCTTTGCAGCCAGCTCCCAGACGCGCCTCTCGATGTCAGGGCCAACGTCCCTGGAGCAGGTCTTGAAATAACTCAAGAGCCTATCAGATGGCTAGTGCACAGCCACAACATCAGAGGTCAGGTTTCAGCGGGTCCATGCAAGTCCACGGGGATGTTGCAGAGAGTTCAGACAGCTGGGAGTGTACCAAAACCCGAGGGTGGGCTGCAAAGATACTGACATTGACAAGTTCACATCTGGAAGGAATGCCTATTACCGTGTCAGTCAGGAGCAGGGTTTTGTGTGCTTGATGAGTATGAGAAGAAGACACAGAAACCTCCCTGCAATGAGACAATAACACTGGATAGGGATGCAAGCGGCAGCACGTAGGGCACAGCATAAACACAAAACAGAAACATTGAAAAGCAAGAGGTACACAAGCACATGACGAAGCAATGGTACCTTCCCATTGTTGTTGTCCACAAACTCGTTTAACCACTGGGTGGAAGTTATGGTCTGTGACATTGGCGTTGGAGGGGGAATCCGAGGGCCTGCAAGGCCCAATCCAAGAGGCGGCATCGGAGAGGCTCGAATCGGATTTGGTGACTGCAGAATGGCAGCCATCTGTCCTGTGGGTCTGAATGGGCTCAGTGGAACTTGAAACTGGGCACTGGGCATCAATGATATGGGAGACGTCTGGGCCAATGCCTGGCTCCCTGGCTTTGGAAGGAATCCCTCCACAATAAACTCACGTTCATCGATCTCCCCAACACTTTCATACAATTCCTGCAGGCAATGCAAACAACAGCAGGGAATCACATTTAGTACTGCTCTTGGACTGTATTTATGAGCCTGTAACAGGCCCCAGGCTCATTAATAAGGGGCACATGCGGAAATTCTCCTTCATTACAACTGTGCTGTAGAACAACAAGTGGCTGCCTTACAAACTTGGCGCAACTGGGTGCTATTCACATCTTCAAGTGATTGTTCCCCAAAGCAGTGTTTCTACTGACCCTCCCTGCTTAACACCCTGTGATATTGCCTTGTGCAACATTTCCAATCCTGCTAAGCATCATGCTGGTGAGCGATGCTGGCTGTTGAGTAATACGATGCATCTGTTGCCATGATCCTTGCAGGAACATGCCCAGCAATGGCCTCTTGCACCACCTTTTAAGAACCTGTGGAGGCCTCCAATCACAAGACAATGGTCAACAAGCATGGCGTTAGACAAGCAGGACAAGGGAAGGTGTGACAAAAACGCTCCAGCCCAAAAAATGCTGACCTCATATTTAACGTTCAGGAGTGCAAGGCAGTCGTTGAACAAGGGGCCCATCTCCAAAAGGCCCTCGTAATATTGGCATGAAGGGACGAGGCTTGCACTGTCCTGGGAACCAACAAACAGCAACGATCAATCAACTGGACTTGCACAGAATAAACACACACACACACACACACACACACACACACACACACACACACACACACACACACACACACACACACACACACACACACACACACACACACACATCAATCGGTATCCACCAGCCCAGTACTTTGTTGGTTTCTCTGCACAGCCTGTGTTGAGGGTATTCAGAGGCAAGTTGCACTGCCTCAAACAACCTCGTTGTTCCAAAAGCATCGCATGGACTGACATTACGTGGCTTTAAACAATGTGATGTACACAAAACAGGCCAGCACATGGATGAGAACAAAACTCTAAACAGTGGGCAGGAACACCAAAGTGATTTCTATCCTTGAAGTGATACAATCCCATGTTCCAACACTGGAATTTGCTTTCGATGACACTGCATAGTAACCCTGGTAAAGTCCTGCCTTGCGCTGGTCCTGGCATGCACTGGCATTTGCCCATTCTTTATAAGTTAGGGTGCAAGCAATCATCCAATATATGAGCACGAGGAAGAGCACAGAGTAAGAGCACATTTTGTTGCTCCAACAATTCATAGTTTTGTCAAAGAGTGTCAATGTGCTGCCTTTGCACATTAAGCATGACAAATGCAAATGAGCGAATGCGGCAATTCACGCACAGGGTACACATCTCTCTTTGAGTCGCAGACACCAGGACATGAGTCAAGCAGGCCCTCTATGAGCTCATCGACTTCCTTCATGGCAACCTCGATCTTGTCAATTTCATCCACATCTTTCATCATGCTTATTCCTGCAGACAGTCAGGAGCAGCAAGGGAGTGCACAGAAGTCAAGGCATCCACAGCATTCACAATACTGTCCAATTTTCATGTTGGCATTATTAGCTGATTGCTTCCTCAATGGAGGCTGTTCTGCAAGTCATGCACAGGGCATGTGAAGACCTGGCTGATGAATCGTCCAATCTTCTCTTCCAGTGCACAGTTTTGAAGTGGTTGTGCTTCAGCTGCACATGTTAGGCAAAAATATGCTGCACATGCTGCAGCAGACTGGCGGTCTCAATTTCGAAACCAAGGCAAAAAGTGGAAGCACAGGGAGAGTACCCAACAGTGTGGGTTCACAACCAACACCAGTAGAGGGAGAACAGACCACCGGCCACAGCTGTGGACACTGTATTTCCGCACATGTTCAGCCTAGAACTCCAGTCGATTCCAACAAGGGTATCAAAGCAGCCACTTGTATGCAAATTTCAATGTTTATGTTTGTCAAAAGCACTACACATTCACAACCCTTTCATAGGTGTCAGGTGCTGTTGGTGAAGCCCACAGGTGTGTCTCTGCTGCACCTTTCCTTCCTGTCCGTTCAGCCTACCTGCCAGTGCGCGCAATGTGTTGAAAGGGCCCTGCTGCTGGCTGAGCTGAATGTTGATCGGAGAGTTGGGTTCTTTGTTCCACTTAGACCGTGGCGTGTTGATCATCAAGAAGTTCACCACACATATGAGCCGATGGTAGCAGCTGCAGGTCCACAGTCCACAGATCAGCAAAGGGCACAGCAGGGGGCATCCAACTAGTGTTGGCAGTCGTTTAACTGAGATCGTAGTCTCTCCGGTAGTTGGTGCACCCTTAACTCCAAAACAAGCTAGCAACAGAGAGCACAGGCTCAGCAACAACTACAGGGTTAACACAAAGCTGCACCAAGGCACTATACACATCTTCATGCCAATGCTGCAAGCTCATTCTTGAAGGCTGTCAGCCAAGCAACTGGTGCAATACTTTGAGGTCAGGGTGCACGAACTACCACACCCATGGGTTTGCTTGTGACTGTCAACAAAGGGCTTGCAGCCCTGATTGGATGCCTTGGCAGACCTTCGAAAGATCCACAAGAGCAATTCATGTGAGCTCAAGGCCCCATGGTGACGGTGCACCACAGCTCATCATATGCTAATTCGCACGCCTTGGTGGCAATCCACATCAAGTGGATTCGATCAGAGTGTGAAAAGCACTGTCCTTGCACACAACACACAGTGTGTGGTGAGCAGGTCATTGTTGTGATTCTCCATTTTGCCACCATATTCATGAGTTTAGGCCACACAGCCATGGCCGCAGATGGGTCTCGCAGCTGCCAGAATGAATACAAAGAAACTGGGGTATTCAATGGTGTGCACCCCAGCACAATATATGGCTTACTTCAAGAGATCAGGAAAGAGTCTTGGCAGCAGCCTGGCCTTAGCATGCAGAACCAGCAGCCAGCCGAACTGAAAGGATGGCATGCTGCTGAGATCACCATCCAGCTCAGGATTCACAGAGAAGACCTTTGCATACAGTTCCTGTCGTAGCACACAGCCATCTGGGGTAAATTCGGTTGCTGCAATCCATCGCCCAAAAACAACAAAGCACTGCCTGGGTCCTTGCAAGTCGATGGTGGCAGCCAGCAAACTGGCAGTCCAGGAATGTTGAAGGGAGCAAGAGCCCCAGCCAACACAACCACCCACATATAATCAAGCATCGTGTGCCTGGGATGGCCTGGGAATTCCAGCAGCATCAGGTTTTCGACCAGGTGATGCTATGCATGGGACAGTTGCTGATGCGGAAGATTTGAAACCCACTGACAACTGACAATGAAAAGTGAAAAACAACAGAGCATGCTGTCCAGTCATAACACAACACAAGCACACAAACGGTTGCGACTCAGCAGATACATCTGTTCTTTGTCCACCTCAATTTCCTAACAGAATGTGCGGCTAAATTCTGGCTGAGCTTTAAGAAGTACACACGCCACTGCATGTGTCAATTCTAGCAAAAGGCTCCACATCTGGAGCTCTTGCACTGTTCAAGCTGTGCAATCTGACACAGCCTTGAGACACTGTGAAGAGGACTTGCTAGTCTGATGTGGATGACACTGCGAGCAACTGCTTTGCATATGCCGTTGTTCCCACTACTGCTGATAAGTTGTGTTACTGCAGAACTGCAGCAATCATGCCATTGTAATGCCTACATAAAGAAATGATGGCTTCAGGCGCAAAACGACAGAGCAAACGTTTACCTAATCATTACTGGCCCTTTCCCTATCCTCATCACTTCTGTGGCTCACTGTGAGGGGCAAATTGGGTGCGAAATGTGGCAGTTCAGCGTTTTTCCAAACTTTGGGCCGAGGCTGTTCCATGCAGTGTTGGACACTCCATTCGAGAAACTCTAACATGTTGCGCTCCACACGTGGACGCACATTTTTCTGTTGGGGAAGTGCACTCCCTTGAAGGGATGGGGATGTGCAACAAAGTACGGGGAGCTTCACCACACGTCTCTTGTGCCACAGTCTCTCAGTCCGCCTGCAAGCTTGATAGAGATGCTTCCCCTGGCCCCCCTCCCACAACCATCACCACCCACGCTCCTCCAAAACTTCGCACACAGCGCGCACCTGCACTTGATGATGGACAGCCAAACAACGCACCTTGTACTTCTTTGCAATCACGGTGAGGAACACGATGCTCATCTGCCATTGCTTCACGCTGAGCGTCTGCTCCAGAGATTTATCCTCTCCGAAAATGCCAGTCAGACGCGGGCGCAGCTTCACAACCACTGCTGGCAGCTCCTTGAAGAAATCGAACAACCTGGAACCAACCAGGCGGCCACTGGAGTCAAGAGGAGGTCATACCGTTGGGGCGGGGGCGCGGTCCACCCGTTGAGGTCAGAGTCATTGACAAAGCGAGCACGGTGGCGCGAAGGGGGGACGGATGTCGATCCCTGCACCACGCCACTTGCTACTCGACAAGAACACCTTGAAAACAAGAGCCTAATGCCGAGAGGCACGGCCCCCGGTTCACATCAGCGCCGATCTGCCACGACCGTGGGGCTTTGGTGTCAGCGAACAAATGCGTCGACCCTCCGCCAAGGTGAATCGCATCAGCGCGGGAGGAGTCCCAGACCGCGGCCACGCACTTGGCTCCGGTTGCCCTCAAGATCTTGGTCAGCGGCAGTCCCCCGTTCCTCGCGCCTGACCCCTGGGCCTGATGGGCCGCCAGCGACTTGGCGATGAACAGCACGCACGCGCGCCAGATGTTGGCGAACCTGTCGTCGTCGCTGCCCTGCGACTAATGGGGCACATGCGCACAAAAACAAAGTTCGGCGTCACAATCAGGACAAGGGGTATTACCTCGCGAAGGGTTGCTTTCGGTAGTGGGGTCCGGCCCTGAACAGGCGACCTGCAGCTCAGCGGGGAGCTGCCGGTGGCCGCGCGGGCGCCCGGAGTTTGGCTGATACATTCAAGGGTACCTGCGCGGAGGGTAAATGGCGCCGCTTGCGGCAGCGGCCGGCGGCGGGGTCAGGACACGTGGAGGGAGGCGATGGCGGCAGAAAGGAGCCCGACAATGCGAAGCGCGCCCAACTGGCGAGCGAGGCGTGCTTCCACCCATTGGCGGTGGGATGTTGAGGCCTCCGCGCCCATTGGCGCGGGGAGCGAGGCGCGACGAGCCTCGACCGACGAGAAGCCAGGGAAGGGAGTGCGGCAGTGACCGTGGGGTGCACCCGCGGGGGTCGATTGGCGGTCAATCGGCAATCTTGCGCCCGCCGCGTCGACAGCATGACCCGCCCGGCGGTACTCTCGCCACCCTGCCGCCAGGACAGACGCGCGCCCGACGTCGCGCGCGGAGCACCCCCCCTGCCCCTAGCGGCCTCCCAACGGGGCGCTCCTCCTCCGGGATCCCAGGCCCAGGCGCGAGCCCCCGCGAAACGGGAGTCCGCCCACAAGCGCACGCCGCCAACGCGCTCCCGAACACAACCACAGCGCAATCCTCAACACAACAACAGGCCTCCCAGCAACCCACGGCAGAAATTGGCGCCAAAGCCCGCCCAGTGGTGCCAACCCCTCGCCACAAGGACCCCTCCCCCCCCCCCGCGCCTCTTTCGCCGCCTCACCGACAGGTCCGACTCCTGCTCCGCCCTGAGCAGCGGCAGCAGCTCGCCGTAGATCCTGTGCGCGATCCCCGTGGCCTCCTCGCTGAGGTCCAGGCCCTCCAGCGTGCCAGCGTCCAGGGCGTCCGGTAGGGGGGCCCGGCCGGGGCCGGGCGGCGCCGGGCCCTCTGCGCCGCCCGCCTCCGGGACGTGCTCCGCGAAGGGCGGGGTCGCCATGCCACCGCTGGCCCAACGCAGCGGGGGGCTGATGCGCCTGGCCACCTTAATATCTGCACACACCCCCTGCCGGCAGGGCCTCCTGTCGGGCGGTGCGCGGGGGCCATGTCGCGCTGGGCTGCGGCCGCCGCCACGTCAGGAACCATGACAGAAACGCAGGAAGATATGCGGAGGGTAATCGGAACCAGGGACGGCAATTTTGGGCAATTTTACGTAATTTTGCGTCTCATTTTGAGTCATTTCGGGCCCAGTGGGGGCATTAATGACGCCGGCGGGCAATGAGCGAGCGGCGTCAAATGGCGCCCCGGCGGGTGGCGGGGCGCTGCGGATGCGGACGCCGACGCTGGGGGCTGGAAACGGCGTGGGACCGCGTGCACGTGCCAGTTCCCGTCCTCAGACATGCATGCCTCCAACCTGGCGGCGATCGACTCACCGGGCCCGTGGATCCCATAAACCTTGCATCGCGGCGTCGTACTACGAGGATAGACGCAAACTCACCCGCAAACTCTGTTGTCCGACAGTCGGCACGAGCAGCCAGAAACCGTGCTGGGCGCGTGCTGTGACGCGGTCACCTCATGAGTTGGGCCCCTCCCGCGACAGGAGGGTTGGAAAATGACTCGGTTCCGAATTCTGTGCCAGAAACACCCTTTTGCAAATTTTCCTCCGAGGGACGAAATGACACACGCAGCCGCCCCACGAGAAACAGCCAGATCGAGCATCACGCTGTCTTTACCAGGGCGGGGGTGCCACCACGCCCGGCGTTAAGTTGCATCAGGGTGCTGCTCCGCATAAACGCATTGCGGCTTGGAAGCCGTGGCTGTCAGACGCGGCGTGCTTTCGAGAACACGATTGTGTTTCCCGTGCTTACGGGTTTGAAAACTCGCTGCCGTTTTGCGTCCCTATCCGAATCTCCTCATCCGCTGGTCGATCCTATCACTGCTGTAACAATCGCTTGCGGTCACCACGTCCTGTGCGATCGCACATCACATCATGAGCCCACGATGGCATGTCGATACACCGTCAGGGCAAGGGGTGAGGAAGAAGACACCCAACTCAACGAGACCAAGAGTAGTGGCCTTTCTGGGCCTTGTTTGCGTTAAGCACTAGATTTCAATGAACTGGTCATGGACACTGCTTTGCTCGTGCAGAACAGGAAGCTGACAGCAGCCTGCCTCCTTGCCTTGTTGTGCAAAATGAATGGTGAAGAAGTGGCGCCCTTGGACACCCAAATTTGTAAAGACCTCAGGCCACACGGACCTTTTGGCAGAACGAAGAAAGAATTAAAAAAGGTGCCGCCTCCCACATATCTGTATATGCAAGCCACACCAGCCATCCCTGGCCATTGTGCTCCGCTGGCCCACCACCGCCCAGCGCGCCCGCGCTCCAATGGCGAGTGGCCGACCCCAGCCAGACTTCTGCACCGACAGATGTCGCCCGGGCGTCGCCCATGCTGGACTGCGGCTGTCCGACAAACAGCTGGGCCACTGCCTGCGCCGGTCGGATCTCAGAATCCCGAATGCGCGGAGGTCTTGGTCAAATTTCGGCACGTCGCGAACGGGGGTTGGCACGAGCGGGGCCGCGGGTGACGTGGGGGAGAGTCTCGAAGACCTGAGGGCCAGCCTGGAGGCCGCCATCGCGATCGAGGACTACGCGCAGGCCGCCAGTCTGAGGGACAGGATCAGGGCGCTGGAGACGGAAGACCCTGTAATCGAGCTCAGGCGGCGATTGCGAGAGGCTGTCGACGCGGAAGACTACGAGGTTGGCGGCTGCAGTTTTTGGCGCGCTGGGGTCTGTTTGAAAGAGATCATCCTGCGGCGCTGTGCTGGGGATCCTGCTTGGCACACATGCCCGGAATTGGGCAAGCACGGCCGCTCTCGCGCGACGAGATTCTGAAGTCCTGCAACAGCAGTGTGGGATCTGCAGCTTTTGTTTTTGGATTTTTCCCTAAAAACTCGCCTTTTCCCTGCAAGTGGCTACGGTGGTGTGGCAAAAGGGTGAAGGCACACAAGGCATGGGAATGGACCATGTTCAGGTGCATGGCATTGAGCCTTTGCCGTTGCACATTCCGCGTGCCGAGAGCGCTCCTTAGCTTTGTTTTTGGCTCGTGCAACAGTGTATGCCAATGTGGCAATGTGCAATGCTGGTATTGCATTGCTGTACTGAATGCCAACTTCTGCTGGTTGCCAAATCATCACAAGCATTTGCTTAACACAACGCAGAACATCCTGGCTGTGCAGATCGAAAAGGCAGAGCGCACCAAAATTCAGGCAATGACACCAACATGCAGTCAGCCATGTCCACCGTATTGTAGGGCTTGAATCCCTTTGGCAAAATGCTGATTGGGAAGAACGCCGATCTGGTTTGCTTTGAACTGCTGGTAAGTACAGCTGCCAATCACAGCAAGGCGCATTGTCAACTCTGTACCAAGAGCTTTTTAGCATCAGAAATCATGATGCATTGAGCAAGAGGAGGATTTGTGCTCCAAAATCCATTTGTGCCTGTTTCAACTCTTCCAGGTGATGTGCACTTTAATCAGGTCGGTGATTTTGTCAATGCACTTGCAGGAAGCTGCACTTGTCCGTGATGAGCTTGTTAGGCAAGGTGGAGACTTGGAGGCTGGTACTGGATCCATAGAAGTGGAGTGCTTCAGTGAAACCATTACAAATGAAGTGAAGGTCCGAGTGAGAAGGTGCAGATAAGGAAATCGACTTGTCTTGAATGGCATTTCCTTCACACATCAATGGGAATCCCCTTTGCAGCCCTGACTTTTCTCAGCCACGAACATCTGGGGGTGGCATTGGCACAAATACTTAGCAGTCAACTTGTTTGGCGGCACATAGGAGGCACATTACTGTTCTCTTGCCTTTCAAGAGCAGTCGTTTGCAGTGCGCACCTTTTAAAACCAGATGGGATCAAACGATGTCGCTGAATCTGTGACCTTGGTTTGTGGACGCACACTTGGATAATTGCAATTTCTCACTTGGATGCTCTCAATGCGTGGCAGCTTCTTCCTGGACCACTTGTCATCTGTTGACAGCGGACAATATGTTTTTGCCTACCAAGTGGAGATTATCAATGAAGGAAAGGCCTCTGTGCAGCTTTTAAACCGACACTGGGTCATCACAGACGCCAAAGGAAAAGTTGAGGAAGTCAGGTGCGGCATTCGACTCCTATGCAAACCTTGGTGGGGGTTATGATCTAGACCAGTCTGCCGAAGTTTTGCGACCAGTGGGCAATTTGGTTTGCGTCTACTGTGCACCAGCTGTGCATTAGGCTCCTGGGTGAGGAATGGGAATGCAAGTACTATGCTGTCTCTTGCTCAGGTGGGCACGTATTACGCTGCGTTGTCACATATTTGAGACCGACACCTGTGAGGATCATTTGGCCACTGGAGTTCTGACGTCCCCTTGTTTGCAGGGGACGGGGCGTGATTGGCCAGACGCCCATCATCAGGCCTAGTCGCTACTTCCAATACGTTTCCGTCTGCCCTCTCGCCACCCGCAAAGGGTGCATGCAGGGGGAGTACGAAATGGTCATACTCAACCCAGAGAACGAGGCCACGGACACAATTCAAGTCAGGATTGGGCGGTTTGGGCTGGACGTCAGAGTGCAGGCGCCGATGTGAAGAAGCGCACGTTTGGCGCTCTTGTTGGGAGAATTTTTGGTCGAGAATTGTTGGCAGCTGACATTCTTTCGTTCTTATTCTTGAATATGAGTATGAGTGTATTTAATGTTGAATGCGATTTTGCAGGTAGCGCGCCGCAGCGCCATGGTTTGTCGTGTGCGTGCTCTGCCGATTGGCAGGTGCGAATCGATCCCTCCACGACTCAACAGGCTGCGCACGTCCAACAACGGCCATTCTGGTTCCCTTCCCGTTCCCAACACCCCATTCGCTGGCACTGAAACACTGCTGATCGCCCCAGCCCACACTGTCACTGGAACACCACCAACGGGCTGCCGGGGTACACCTCAATCTTCCCATCCGGCGCCTGGCCCGCTTGACACGCCAGCGCCACCGTCATTTCCTGCACGGCCAGCGCGTCTTTGACGTATTCGGTCATCTCAACGAGCAGCGCCCGCTCGTCGAATGTGAGCCTGGCGCCCAGGGCACCGACTCCCGCCCCTGACCTCGCCTGTTCCATCTTGTGCTTCGCGAATGGCATCACCTGGGCCTTCAGGTCCTTCTGGCTCATTCCGCTCACCTCCGGGGCGCCCGACATGGCCTCGATCACGTGATCAAGGGCCTTGGGCGGGAAGGCGTTGGACAGGGGATCGTATTGAGACGACAGGGACGCCAAGACAAGCTTCTGCCACCCGATGAATTCTTCCGCGACAGAGACCTCCATCTTTGTCAGCTTCTGTTTCGGGGGTGGGGCCTGACCTGCAGGACAGCGCGATTCACACGTCACTCACTGGTGGGTGCATTCACTGCGGGTGCCAAAAGTGCCTGCCGACGCCTGCAATGACAGTGTTCCGTCTGTTGGACAAATGCAATCGAGCAGATTTCAACCCAGTGCTGGGTCCTTCACCCCAGCAGAGCTCCGTCCGCATTCACACTGTTTTCTGCTGTCTTGCACCGCCAGCGACGCAAAACGCATAGAAAAGAAGTACACGAATTGCTGCGTCAGCCTTGCAGCTGCGCTCAACGCAGCCTGGAATTCATGGAAATGGGAACGAAATGCAGCAAAAACAAACACGTCTGCGCAGCACACTTGCACTTCGCTGCCAGGAGCAATCCTCACCCTTTCTAACTTTCCCCGGCGCTTCCAATTTCTGTTTCGTTCTCCTTTGAGACGTGATGAAGTCTTCAAGGTACGTGGCTGCCTGCTGCAAGCCATAATCTGGCTCTGGCGCTTGCGGCCACCCAGCCGTCAACACCGACTCGCCCTTCTTCAGGACGTTCACCCACGTGTGGTCCATGGTGTGCGGGGCTATGGGCACCATCAGCAAAGTTGAAATCTCCACGTATCGCATGATGAGCTCCCGGTTCATGCTGACCGTCTTGCAAGAGAACCTGGCCACCATTAGGCGGCACCCATGTCAAATTTAACCCAAATCTTCAAGACACAAGAGATTTCCAGCAGCGTTTGCCTCAATCCCAGGACGAATGCTATGACAATACCCACCGACCCTGCACGCCAACCCACCCACTCCGTGCGTTGTTTCAATACACACACCAGCCATCGGAAAGGCGCTCGCAACACCACCGAAGCCGCACTGGCATTGCCAGTCTGGCTACCTACCTGTAGCGATCACGAGCCGACTGCAAGTCGTACCACCCAGACTTGAGGGCTTCTCTGAAAAGGAGCTTGTCATACGCATCGAATGCTTTTCGGATGGCGATGTTGATCTCGTTGTCAAACACCCGGTCCAAGAAGCTGGTTGGTGGGCCGGGCCTGAGGCTGTCCTGCGATGCCATGATCTGTTCAATCCACGTCAGCTCTTTCGTGAGGCGCAGGATGGCCGCATTGGCCGTCTTCCCCTCGAAGTTCGCATCGTCCAGGCCGTCGCCGGCATCGGCGAGGCCCACACGCATTGCATCTGAAGAGAATTTGGAAATGGCCTGCGAGAACAGCGGGAATCAGTCGGGACATCATCAATAATCGTAACGTCCTCACAAACGTGGTACGGCATCAACTTTCCGCCCGTTACGAGACTTCGGGCGGCAAGAGAGACGGCGCATGCTTGAAAATCTGCAAGCCACGAGAGGGATCCCCGTTCCAAGCCTTGAAAGACCTGACAAAGGAGCGTCAGCATGGACCTGTCGTTCGAATGCCGCTCCGTGGATGCGTGTGTCAGCGCAAGCAGCGCCATGTCAACGGCCAATGCTTCATCAACTCACAATTTCGCCATGTGCAGCTACATCTGCACATCCAAGGCTGATTGCCAGCGGCCATGCTCAACCATCAACAGAAACGCACACAGGTGAACGAAACCGTGGAGGGAATGTGCCCTTAGTATTCTACTGTACTCTTAGTATATATATAATATACAAGTATCTACTAAGTAGATAAGTATATACTCTAATTCTAGTATTCACACCGTGAACATTCGTTACCACTGAAACGTGCAGGATAGACCGGACTTGACGAGCAATGCAAGGGCGGAAGGCATCGTGCGTGGTTGGCTGGTTCTGCCATTGCCGCCTCCCACAGCTACAGTACTGGCCTAAGTTGCCAGGGCACTGACACCTACCTTAGCCAGCGATACATCCTTTACCCACCTGTTCAAGTGTCAGGAAGTTGCCCCTCGACTTGGACATCTTCTCAGCATCCACCATCACGTGCCCATTGCAACGGAACGCCTTAGGCCATTGCTCCTTGGGGAACAAGGCCGTGTGATTGTACAGGCAGAATGTAAGGTGGTTCTGAATCAGGTCCTTGCCAGAAACCCGAAGATCAAATGGGTACCAGTACTCGAACTCGTTGCGAAGCTGCTTGAGGGTGTCCTCAGGGATCTGACTGTCTGCTGGCATGTCAGCGCCCAAAAGAATGTAATCCCAAATCTGTGGTGTGCAACCACAAAGGTGGACAAGAAGTGAATGGAGAGTTGCATCAACGTTAAGCAATGCCAGAAATCAAATGCTTCCAACTACCAGAGCTTCGTAGCTGAAAGTATTGGAATAGCCAAGGTGCAAGTCAGGCATTGGCTCGAGGCCCCAAACAAGGATTTTACGTGAAGGTGCCCAATGCAGACGATGTTAAAGTCATCTTTGGTGGCATTTAGTTGTGAACTCTCCAAAGTCAGCAGCCCTTACCAGGGTTCAGCCACTACCGGTCTCTGGGTGATTCTGTTCGATCACGTGCTTCAGAAAGCTTGCAAGCAGGCGATTCAATTCGTGCCCATGTGGCAGCACTGGCTAAGAAACCCTTGGCACATGGTGCTGTGGTGCAAGGCCAAGACATGCAAAGGAGAGAAACAGCACACTTTTTCTTTGCCATGAACAATGGCTGACGTTGTGTTAGATCCCTCACCTCGTCAGTAAGGTGGTCCGGCGAAATGCCAGAGTGGTCGCTTCCATAGAGATTGCCTTTCTGCAGAAGATGAGCGACTGTGTAGTACGCCATGTAGATTGTGGAGTCTGACAAGGATTCCACAAGGTACTCTGGGTCCCATGGGATCTTTGTCCCTAATCCGTAGGAACGAGAGATCGCCCATCGCTCGAGCCAACCTGCAGGCAATGTACAGTAAGCCCTTGGAATGTATTTGTGTGAACAAAACAGGACTGGGCGATTGCACCTGGCAGGTGGCGACAGGCATGTACGTGCACATGAAGTATCCTTGCACGGTTGCTAGTTTGCATGTTTGCATGTTTGTCAAACCATTGCATAATCTGGGGCAACTGGCTGCATGCAATGGACAGATGCAGTACTTGGAACTGCTCACTGAGCACTACCAACATAGTCACTTGCGAATTGAGATGGAAGGCAAAATGGCTATCAGCACATGGTTGGTCAGCTGCGCCAAGTAGTTCAGAGCCTTGAGACCCGTCAATTTGACTGCCGATGCCAATTTTCGTGGGCACCTTGCAGCTGTAAGCCGATGGCATGCACAACGCCATCAGCACAATTTGCTTCCACACATTTGTTCCCTTGCCCACTCTAATCGTGCCTGCACTCCGTTGCCTGCATGTCGGTGCATATGATGTGTTGGAGTTTATATGTTCCAGGCACCATAAATGGATCATCATCCTCAGCAGTCCAGGGCAAACTTCTTTGCCAGCTGCACTTACCAAGAACATGAGTGAAGTTGTTCTTAGCCTCTGGTGCATAGCAATTGAGCTGTTGAAGGCACTCCTTCGTCAGGTTCGCCCATTCTTCCTCACCATATGTTATGTACCATTGATCCGTCAAGGCAACAATGCACTTGTCCCCTGTCCCACACACAACGAAAGGGAGCAACACATCAGAGTTTCCCTGATGCATGCCATACAATCTGCGACAAAAAAACAAGTTGCACCATTTGTGTGCACTTTAAACCTCCCAACTAACTTCAGAGAAAGTTGACAGGCCAAACAGCTGGACAAATCTCCCAAGCAGCAAGACAGCAATATTTGCTTTAAGGCAAAAACTCATAGCGCCAGCCTATCCAGCTCCAACCTGCCCAGAGCGCAACGTTGAAAGGACTGAAAACGAATTTGCCAGGGTCATCTGTATGGGCGACCCTGGCAAATTCGTTCGGCCCTGGTATGCATGCCCATTTACCATTTTCTTAACGCCAATGATGGCATTCGATGGTCACAAAAATTGCAAAATTTGAGTTGCTGTGTCCAAAAACGTTTATCACATTGCACACGCTGCAATTTCACGTTAGAGACCACAAGGCCAAGGTTCACAACGTGTATTGCAGAATCGCACCAAATCAAAGCACTGGTCACCAAGGGAATTCCTACCTGATCTGGACATAACCAGGGACTCAGGTTCACTGTACAACATGGCCTCCCCTCTTTCCACCATCTCCTTCTTCAATAATGGCTTGGCTTCACTCACTTTGCGACCATTGTACTCACCCACTATCATTATGCCACTTGTGAAGCCCTGGCAACACAAACCAATACCAACTTATGGCCAAACCACACTGCACGCCATAGCTCTTGTGGTCTTTCATCCTTGCTTCAGGTCCAAAATGTCCCAGATTGAGAGTGACACACATCAGGTTGGCAGAGAGACCAAAACTGCAAAGCGCTCGAAACACGAAGCTGCCGGCCATTCACACCCTTGAGCAAAATGCAACATCGCTCAGTGGGTGGTACTGTTTTTCTTGTGAAAAGAAATCAAAGCAAAATTTGTTTTGTGGCATGAAGTGCATTGTCCTATGTGCTGACATGCAGAGCCATAACAGCACTCATCCAACGTAACATGTTTCCACAGCGCTGCTGCGCAGAGTCGACAGCAGGTGAAAAAGCCCACACCTTTAGGTATGTGCGCTCCTTTGCTTCCTGAAGTTTCGCAGTGTCATGCTGGCTCTTTATCTTGAGCTCGTTGGATACAGTGACAGCAGCCATGTTCCCGAATCCCTCGATCTCAATAATGGGAATGATGTTGAAGGGCAGCACCCATTCGTCTTTGACGCCATGCTTCTCCCGGAGTTCAGGCTTTTCCTTGAGGTCTCTCAGAGCAATGTAGTCATCGGGTGCATCGCTGGGCACACTGGTGACAACCCCTGTCCCCTTGTCCATCTTGATGGTCATGAGAGGCAAGGCGTAAATGCGATCGTGCTGGCAATTTGGTGATTTCACGGCTGTGCCAATAAGGTCTTGCCCCTTGATCTTCAACAAACATTCTGGCTGACCATGAATCTGACCAGAACAAGGTGCGCTCAGAGCTTCATACTTGGAACAAAAACGTACCCAGTGCTGGGATGCTATTCGTGTGTTGGAAGAAACATGTGAAGCGGGTAAACAGGTATCCGTATTCCGGTGGACTGCAAATTCACTTCAGGAGACTCAAGAGGGATCGCCATCATCCAACATCTCCTGTGCAGAGACTCAAAAGCGATGGAACGCAGCACTACTCTTTTCCCAGGTCTGTGGCAGCAGCATCACCTTGCACATCTGTACCTGTGTTGCAGTTGAATGGGCAGTGCTTGTGATATTTTGACAAATGCATTCAAACTGATCAGCGTTCAGGCAGCATCACCCACCGGTGTTTTCTCTTGGTATGCCAGGTTGAGTGCTGAGCGCTCAGACATGATGTAGATTTCGTTTTTGAGTCCCTTGTAAGCGCCATACTCTCCCTTTGGCAAGATCCAGAAGTTTGTTTGGCCATACATGGTCTCGGGCCGCAGAGTGGCTGCCATGAAGAACACCCTCCCTTGCCCCGATAGCGGTTCCAGTGCAGCTGCCACAGCAGGACGATACACAGAGTACAGCTTGTCAATTTACAATCTGCCAGGAATCAAGAACTTCTGAGAAGTCCATAAGGTATATAATTGGGATGCAAAGCAACCTGCAGATGCATATGAGTACGAGACAAGGATTGGCAGATTTCAGATGCAAAGAAACATGGTACACGGTATTATGAACACAGTATAGTGAGGAGGGAAAACACCCTCTCCAGGGATAGAGCACAGCAATGACAGACCTGCAATCATTGAAGAATTGACCACCAGTTTCAGTATTGATCATTCACATTAGTCCAGTGCCAATATGAGATATATTTGATGAAATGTAAGGTGTTCCATTGTGCAGGGCCATACTGACTCAACCGTCCCCACCCTGACAAGGCCAGAGTGTGGTGCTGTTGCACCTACCTGTGAGCTCCACAGCCTCCATTTTTATGAGTGTGTACTCCTGCGGAAGTACGCCCTCCCCTGCAGCCCGGTCATGATCAAGGCATGGCTGCCCATCAAGCACAGAGAAAATTGTGTGTCTCTTGTCCTTGACAATCCTGCCCATCTTTTTCAGCTTCCTGAATTGCCATTGAATAAATGAGTCATAGTAGGGGTTGGCATCCGTTGTTATGAACGATCGGCGCCAATCGATCCCACAGCCCATGAGCTTTAGGTGCTCCACACCTTTGCCAGGAAACAGCTGGAGCCAGTGCAGAGGATCCCTGGAAGCAGGAAACAACAAGAACAGAATCAGCAGGAGCAGTGCGCTGATGCGATCACAACCCATGCCTGGGCCATGACTTGTCCTACAGCCTTGAAATAGGTCAAGTTCTGACTGTGGCATAGGATGTCTGTTAGTACACTGTGTGGAGTTGCAGATGGCGTCTCCAGGGATGCAATAGTTAAATCTGGTCCCAGCTGAGTGCAAATCCAGTCCATAGTTGGTGGAGGCAAGCGCAGGTCCACCTTGACACCAATTGACTTGAAACCCAACACAGCTGCAGCACAATGACCCAAATCCTGGGTGGGCGCACTGAGCAAATAAAGCCACACCCACAACCCTTGCTGGCTGCGCCAGGTTGAATCTCCACAAGGGTGAGCAAGGGTGAACCTTAACAAATAACAAGACAACCCTTTTTCCCAAATTCTGCGCCACATGTGACAAAGATGAACAACAAATTCAAAAAGCATACACATTGCCATTTCTGAGAAGTCGCATGGTGTGCAGGCACAAGTGCAATGAATTGTACAAGTGACCCACAACCACATGCATATGGGAAATAATGGTCTGCTGGTAATGATCGCCTGATGGCTCTGAACAAGCATTCGAATCTGAAAGGCAATCTCTGTGTAGAAAGAAGGACCCCTTGCACGACCCCTTGCATTCAAATGCCAGTGCCTCATCGGCGCATCATTGCACTGTTCTCTGTCAGCCATGCAGCAGGACTCGCTCAACTCAGTCTGAATCAATACCCTTGCGAGCGAACAGGCTTATGGCCCTTTGGCAATGCCATCAGACAGGAATTTCACTGCTCAGCCTGTACATTCAGGACTGCTACTCCCAACAGCATGTTGGGTTTGCCACCCCTTGGTCCTGGATTCATACCTGAATTTTGGAATCTCATCTTCTGGGAACCCACTCTTCTCCAGGATTGTCCACTGATGGGTCACCCCTCCTGTCTTTGCAACTGCTTTGCTCTTCTTGCCACCAAACTTTGCAGGGTCGGTCTTGGTCCCAGCTGCCTGCACAGACAACAAACAATATAATAGAGAGACCAGTGACCTGCTGCATGTTCAGTCCAAATTCGCATCCATTCTCACATGCATAAACTGCATACTTGCATTGCATGAGAGCTTCTGGATCGTGCAAACTGCAAAAGCTGGCAAGAGAGCAATGTGAGGAGCCCAGCCAACAACAAAAGAGAGGCCACAAAGCAAGAGAGACTGACTGGATGGCTACTTGCACACCGGCAGTTGCCCAGCCTGATTGCATAGCCACTCACATACTGCTTATGGTGTGTGACAGAATCACACACACCTGTTGCTTTTGTACCAAAACACACATAACACTGGAGCCACTCATGAACCAACCAAAATCCCACTGTGCTGTGCTTTCGCTGCATTCCACAAATGACTGTTGCCAGGTCAACCACTGCATGCTTTTCCTTACTGTCAACACTCCACCGAACTATCCCGTGGCTTAGAGCCCAGTGAAATGAATCAGAGGCACTGCCAGGACATATGCATCGAGCAACACTTCCTACACTTGCACTCGCAGACTGATGTACCTGCTCAAGTGTATCACAACAATCAGAGGTAAGACATCAATGTGCACATTTGCTGCCTGATATTCTAATCATCCCAGAGAGTTTTCCATCGCCTTCAACCGGAAGTGCCTCCCCTACACTTTCCTGTGCCACAGTTGCCATTATGCAGCCCCTCTTTTCATTGTTTGGCTTCAGTCTTTTTTTCTTTTTGGTTTCTCTTCTTCTGAACAATTGTGTCAAAACAGTTACCCCTTACACACCTGTGCCTCCTTCTTCACTGTCTCTCCACTCTCTGGCTCAGGGAAGGCAGGCGGGCAGCCGTACTCCCTGATCTCTTTGTCCAACTTGTCAGCACATGCCTGCAGCAGCCACAACCCGTGTTCAGTACCTAGCAGTGCAACAATGGCCCACAGCCGGCCAATTCTCCACAGCACATCAGGTAGATCAATGTAACTCCATGCAGGCCAAAACTAGAGGGCCAGTCTCCCAAACAGCTGTGCTCACAAAGGCACAGCATACATATTCAAGCAGGAGCAAATCAAGCACATGCTAAGCACTACCGCACAAAAATCAACGCTATGTATCATTGAATCTGCAGCTCTGCATGCGCATCTTTGTGTGCAGTATTGCTGGGCACATATGAAGCATATGGATGTTCTGTTGTCACCTACGACCTTTGCACTACACACACTGCAGCAATGCAATCTCAAACATAGCCTTTACAGTGGCACAAACCTTGATGGGCATCCCTGTGCAATGGAATGCCTGAGGGAACAGCACATTGCGACCTCGAAGTCGCTCAAATGCTGCTTTGAACTCTAGCTGCAGTCACAAAACAAGAGTAGTCTTAACATTCAAGCTCAAGGGATGTGCACCCACTGAATAACCTGCTGCCCATATCGCCAGCTCATTATTTTGCAGCTGCAAGTCAAAATGTTTCTTTAGTCAACTCTCTTTGGAGACAAGAAAGCTGATCAGTGTGACCCTCCACGTACCTCCATCTGTACATTCATGCTGGAGACCCACCAAAACCCACATAGCTATGCATGATCTCTCATATTTCATATACATGGCAAAGAATACTGAGTGCATTCCAGCAAGACACCCATGGCATCATTCTTATCTACAGCACAGACGGATCCTTTTCCGAAACATACCTATAGGCTCAGTTTTTGCATTATTGCACACCCCTCACCCAGCATACCCGCCCAGAAAATTCGATTCCTGGCAGAATTACAATAATTTTAAAATGCTGATGAAAGATCGAGAAACTTGGAGATGTTCGGATCTGCCTGCTCTGCGCATCACTGCCACACAGAGTCACATAAACTTAATGTCTGCCTATATGTGAATTCCATCGCCATTACCTTAGACAAACTGAAGGCATGCCCCAGATGAAGCAAGCCATTCATGTAGGGATACGGAAAATTGCCAAAGAACTTCTCATCTTTGTGCGCTTCCTGGCCTACAAAGCAATCATGCACACATCCATCAGCCCCAGAACAAGCCAAACAACAGGCCACGCTATGGGCCCAATTTCGAACGACACCCGGCAGCAGATCCGTCGATCCACCGATCATCAGGACGTCCATGGCGTGCGGACGAAGGCAGCATCCATTCATGGGACCATTGGCTCCCACAAACAAAAGAAAATGCCAATGGGGAACATTTGCGTGGGCATGATGTCCAGCAGGCGCAAGAAGCGACCGCCATTGCGCAGCCCCTGTCCGGTGATGGAATCGCACAAGAGGAGCCCGGTTCAGGAGATGGGGATTCTCATCTGCATTCCATGGCGGGATGCCCAACCAGTCCATACGCAGCACCAGCATCGAGGCCGGCGGGGATTGGCTCACCCGGCGTGGGGGCATCAGCCCGGAAGACGTCCGCCCGGGCCCACTCGGTCTGGCGGGCCTTCTGGATCTCCAGCAGGGTGTCGCGCCTTTCGGTGCTCTGCTGCGGGGAGGCCTACCGGGGTTCGGAAAACAAAAACAGCATTGGGCTCGATGGCCATCCCCCGGCAAAGGCACCCGGCAGCATGGGCCGACGCGGCTGTGCGCGCTGCGGCGCACCTCCGTTCCCGACGCCATGTCGAAGGGCCCCTGCCCTCAGCGCAGTACCAGCGGTGGAGGAGAGATGTCGGCGCCTTGGGCATTATATTGCGGAGAGGCCGGGAAGCCAGCGGTAGCTGGCCTGCAGTTGCCCGCTGCAGGCGGCGGCGTTGTGTGCTCAGACCGTCCGGAAGTTAGTGTTGGCAGCTTCGTGACTAGTGAAGCCCCTAGTAGCGTGTGTGTGGATGAGCAAACAGTTTGTGGCCTCAACTAAAAATCTAGGCTTACAAGCAGTTCGCTGCTGTCGTCTTTATCGACTTTCGCACAGCGTAAAATGGCCCCAGCTGTCAGCACGCTCAGACAGACAGGGTCACTGCTTGCGCATTTTGTTTACTTATAGGCTTATGCGTTGTCAGGAATTGCCCCTCGATCCATGCCGTCCAATATCCAATTCAGCAGGCCTTATGCAACACAAGGGAATCAGTTGCGAATACCCAAGCAGTCACACGGCAACTAGAGCAGATTCAGCGCAGACCCCAAAACTGGAGCAACTGCACGACAGCCACACAATTACGCCTCCCAAAATAAGGAGTTCTTCCTTTGCAGCTGCATCACTCGAGGGCCCTCCAAGCATACTGGGCAGCCAGAAAGGCAGCAACGTCCCCGCCTACATCCAAACAACAATTACGAAGCAACAGAAGTGCGGTGACACAGACAACCACCTGAGAAAAGACTATTTGTGCCACATTGCCATGCGCATGATAGAAAGAAAGAAGAAAGACAAGATAAATACGCATGGGCAGAATGCACACTTGACTGGGGCTGGCCAGTTGCGGGCATTTACAAGCACATATCAGTCAGCCAGGACCAGTCAGCTGAGTTCATTGTTTATATATGGACGACACCCTGGCCAGCGCTTGTTGCGAATAGTCATGAAGCCTGCAAGTCCCGAGCGCACGCACGTTGAGGAGATCAGGAGTTGAGGCTCCTAATTCCTGGTTGCCTACAGTTTCCTCGCAAGCTCTTTAGTGTAACAGGTTGAAATAATTGGGTCACAAGTTCCCCTAACTAATAAGATTCACTCCAGGGACTTCTGGGGCACTAAATTGGCAGAATCTCATATCGGTCCTCCACCACAACATGCGCCCACCAAACCAATTTGCTTTCTGCTCGACTGTGAAAATTGAGAGGAAAATAGACGACCGAGCGTCACCGTATACCATACATATCAGTATATATATATATATATATATATATATATACCTGAGCATATAGGGCAATCCCAGGCCATCCTCGGAGCGTCTGGCTGACCAGGAGTGACATATCGCATAAACCAAAAGCACAATAACGCAGGCGATTTGTAAACCATATTATACCTTTAAAAGTCACGATGTAAAAGAATTGGATGCAGCATCGACATTCCACATCAAGTGCTCATATTTCATGAGCTTCCACTGTGCATAACACATGGACTCTGTCGCGTGTTGAGCGTGAGCGCTTGGGGATGACATTGCAGTGATATTGCTACTCTTAGCTTCCTGTCAGCGTCGGTGGAGGGGAAGAGGGGGCACCGATCTTAATGCTAAGTTGGTGACAGATGCTACAAATTGCCTTTGCCTCGCCCTCCCTGGCAAGAGCCGAAGCACCGAAGTTCTGAGATGCCCACAACGTTATGGAGGAATTTCCTTAGAAGCCATTGTGATTAATAAGGAAGCACACTGGATCTATTCTGGTCTGCTTGGTATCATAGGCGAACATTACCAAGCAGGGTCACGCAATATCCAGGTGCCTTCAAAGAAGGCCAGCAGCCAGAGCGGCAACGATTGTGGAGGATTGTAAAAAATTATACGCTTAGAAGCATCATCCTTTCAATTGATATGATGGCAAAGATGGGGACAGCCCCGGATGCCTTCAGCTAAGCCAATTGGGAGGCGTTTTAAGGCGCCTGAAGATTCCTCACAACTTGTGAAGATCCAATTCTTGAAGGACGTATTTGAGCACTTCACGATTCTTGCCGCTGATCGGCAGCGGTTCGAGCATCTTGGCTATTGTTGGGTTTGTGGCAGCTATGCGTGCTCTCAGCGCCACCGGTCCCCTCCGCTTTTAGCCACACTCTCGCAATAAAAATACCAAAATCGATACAGTGTACTGCCCGGAAGGGGCATCCTTTCAGCAACACTGATCCTTGCCATGGAAGCATCAAAGCTTAAGGGTGAACTCATCTAAATGGTATGAGCCTCAGAGGGAGACATGCAATCGAAGTTCGGGTATGCCAATAGGATGTTGGGACTTGTTTGGATCTATTCCAGTGGATGTATGTTTTCGACATATTTGATATTTGCCGGCAAGTTCACATATGAGCCTTTCAGCTAGTATGTTAGGGCACCGTCATAGGATGAGTTTCAACATTCGACTCGCATGCACCGCTGCAGTAGTTAGTACTGTACTAGCCTGGCTATAGCCTGTCGGCAAGGTCCGTGCAATTTTAGCTTGGGTGCGTTTCTTTCTCTCTTGATTCTTATGGAACATTGTCGCAGCTTCTATGCATTGCCTTGGATGGAAACATTTGGATGTTCAGTGCCCAAAATCTGTTCTCCCGTGGCGCTCTTGGTTCAAGCAGGGTTTTAGCGCTGATGATGCGTGATTTTGCCAACAACCATGTTTGGAAACAATATGAGGCTCGGCGCTTCACGGTACTTGCTCGTATCGCTTTTGCTGCAAAGGGTGTTCGATTTGGCATTTTTCAGACCTTGAAGGAACTCCAGTTAAAAGCATCGTATTATTGCTATTGCTGTTCATTATTAATAATAGCACTAACAGTGATGTGACCATCCTAATTGGATAGCATCAATCAAGCCATTGAGGTAACCATTTAAGCAGTAGCGTCAAGTGATTACATTAAATGGTCGCAACGGATGAATGCGGAGATATATGTGCGGCTTTGCGCAATTCGAATTTTGTTAAGGGAGGACGCTTTATCGATTTTGGTACGCTTAGCGTCAATTTGACGATAAGCTCAGACCCACTTACCCCCCACCCTACCCCCCACCCCACCCCCCACCACCAACAACATGTGTCAACGTACATCTGCAAAAAGTTCGCTATATGAGCACACACATTCAATCAAGGACACTTAATTGCGCCGTTAGCCGTTAACTACCCAGCACCTAGACTACACAATCATGAGGTTGTGTCATGCTGTCAGACAACACTACACAATCATGAGGTTCGAGCATCCGATCAACTTTAGCCCAGAATGCTGTGCCAGGGACCTTAAGCTTTTCGGCAATTCCATGAGCTTCACGCAACCCTCCAAATCGAGCACCCTAAGCTGTGATAATGACCCTAGGCTGCCTGGCAGCTGTGTGAGACTCTCGCATCCTGACAAGACCTGCCAATGACCCCAAGCTGTCTGGCAGCTGTGCCAGTTTCGTGCATCCCTCCAAACGCAACCATTTAAGGTTCGCCAGGGACCCGAGGCTCTCTGGCACATGCATGAGCTTTGTGCAACCCTCCAAATTCAATGCTATGAGGTTTGCCAATGACCCTAGGCTGTCTGGAAGGCGCGTCAGATTCGCACATCCAAACAAACAAAGCCCTTGAAGTTGTGCCAACGACCCCAGGCTTTCCGGTAGCTGTGTGAGGTTCAGGCATCCACTTAGATTCAAGTCTTGAAGCTGCGCCAGTGACCCTAGGCTGTCCGGCAACTGCCTGATAGTCGTGCATTTGCACATGCGCAGCACCTGCAGCTTTGCCATTGACCCTAGGCTGTCAGGCAATTGTCTAAGATTTGTGCATCCTGACAAATGCAGTGCTCGAAGTCTTGCCAGTGAACCTAGGCTGTCTGGCAGCTGCGTGAGATTTGTGCATCCCCTCAGAGTGAGCTCTTGAAGCTTTGCCAGTGACCCTAGGCTGTTTGGCAATTGTGGGAGATCACTGCATCTGTCCAGATGTAGCTTTTCAAGTTGCATTAACGACCCCAAGCCGTCTGGCAATTGCCGGAGATGCGTGCATCCCCACAAATGCAGGCAGCGAAGCTGTGCCAACGACCCCAGGCTGTCCGGCAACGCTGTGAGATTCGAGCATTTCCCCAGATTTAGTATTCGAAGCTGTGTCAACAAACCAAGGCTGTCTGGCAGCTGCGTGAGCTTGGTGCATCTTTCCAAAACTAGCAACTGAAGCTGTACAAGCGACCCCAAGTTGTCTGGCAGCTGTGCAAGATTATAGCAACCTTCCAAACGCCATGTTTTGAGTTGTGCAAAAGAGCCTAGGTTGTCCGGCAACTGCATGAGATTCGCGCAGCCTGTCATGTTCAGCTCCTCAAGCCCTTCCAAATTGGCAGTGGAGCTGAAGCCCTCACCAGTGATCTTCAAACAGCAACTCAAGTCAACCCAGCGTAATGTCCTAATGCAAGACAGTGAGTTGAATGCATCATCGGTGAATCCTGAGCAATACGTGATGACCAATTGGCTGAGAGAATCCAAACTAGCCAGGAATTTGATCCCACAATCCGTGATCCTGTCAACTTGGCTTAGGTCAAGGTGTTGGAGTTCTGTCAGAAATGCAAGCAGCTTCATCCCCTTGTCAGTGATTTGAATACACTCCGACAAAATCAGGGAGCGCAGTCTTTTCATTCCCTCCAGTGATCGCAACCCTTCATCTGTGATGTATGGGCATCTAGACAAGTTAAGATATTCAAGAATGGTCAGGTGGCACAATGGTTTCAGCCATTTGTCTGTAATATTGCAATTGCAACTCAAGTTGAGGTGTCGCAGTGACAATGATGATGTCAAGCTTTGTATGCCCCTTGCTGTAAACTGTAGACACCTAGTCAAATCAACACTGCAGACGGTTGACACTGCGCCAAGAGCAGTAAGAGCCGCATCATCAACCTCAGAACAATTGTCGAGCACAAGTTGGGACACCTTCACAAACTGCTTGTCCACCTGTAGCAGCGCCTCCTTCAAGGTCACATGTCTGGGAGGCTTGAGCACTTGAACACTTCCTGCCGCCCAGTGTGACCAATGAGCATTGACCAGGTGGGCGAGTTTTGGCACCCAGCTGCTTGTTTCTTCCCCTTCCTGCTCTTGGGAGACTTGCATAATTCTGTCCAGCAGCTCCAATGGCAAATGCGACCATGCCTACAATCAGCACACCAGAGGCTTTGGAACCTGTTTCACCAAACGGTGCTGTGTAGTTGCAAAGTGAGCCTCTGAAGGCACAAGAAAACTGAGTTGTTGTTGCACTGGAATTTGTTAGTTCTCGGCCACGATAAGTGTGAAATTTGGACTTTCTGCCCAGAGCAAATACTGCGGTCCGGTGCGTTGACAACTGACTGTAGCTTAGACCGCTCATGGAAGAGGTCAGGTGCTCACATTGAGCAACATGCAGAGACCAGCGACACACTGGTGTGGAGTACGCCTGCCTATTCACGCTATATTCTTGTTTACAGTGCAAGCCGGGTGGAATAGAAATTGGTACAAGGGTTTCATGCCCACCAGATAGCTCACATGAGATGTTGACATCCATCGGGTAAAAATTTTCAGGTGGTGTGGTGCGATGTGAAAGCACTCCAGTGACGCAAATACATGGGCACATCATGGCCATATAAAGCCAGAATTCCCTTGGAGTTGGTTGTAAACACGTCAGTGATTCCTGTCGATAAACACCATCGACTGCATCGACAACATCAGGAAGCAAAGCGTGGGCACCAAAACAAGGCCCCGGTGCCAAACACACTGACTCCCGCGCGATCCAGGAGCTTTCTGCGAGGGCCCGAACCAGTTCTTCTTTCAACGAGATTCCGCAGAACAATGCTGCATCAGATCAGATCCTTCCGGTCGGCGTTCTGAAACGTGTCCATCAATGCAACAATAAACTCGACGCTAGGTATGGTCTTCACCATAGTGTACCACAAGCCTTCCGCGCATCCAGAGCCACCCACCTGCGCCCCCTCACCGCGGTCGCCAGTGGCCTCCATCGTCGAGAAATCTCTTCCGTCAGCTCCGGCGAGGACACTTGACGCAGGTGCACCCCCTCAACCGCGCAGGAAACAAACGCGCTACGCCACCCGCACCAAGGCCCGCTCTTCAGAAGAACGCGCTTCTTTGAATCTGCCACAGGTTACAATCGTAAGAGCTGGGGACCGCACACTTCCGAAATATTAGCGCCGTACTGCGTGGCCCCGCTCCATAACCTTGCCTCAAGCAGGCGATGGCCAACATCAGACCTGTGCACCTCGGAACACGTCTCAAAGAGAAGCGTCCAGTTTTGGATCGCACGGCGCCGCGTTGCATGCCGGCAGTGTGGCGGCCCCCATTCAACCGATCACCATTCTGCGGCCCCCCATCCCAGGAGTCCGAACGCAGTTTGCACCTGTGACCGTCTGCGAAGCGCCGCCGGGCCCGCCGGCTGCCAAAACCCGCGCACGGCGAAGCAGTTCAAAGTCTCCCTTTATTTCTGGTGGTTGCTTATGTCATGCTTGTGAGAGTCTAACGCAATCTGGCGTCTGGGTTCCGGGCATTGTCCAGCTCAGTCGTCATTGACATGTGTGAGACAACATGTTTGTGTTGTATATTAGATTTCAATGAGCTGATCGTGGACACTGTTTTGCTCGGGCAAAATAGGAAGCTGACGGCTACCTCATTGCCATATTGTGTAAGCATGATGATGATGATGATGATGATGACATGCCTGCGGTTGCCGAGTCAGACGCTATTCGAATTAGGGCATATTCCAGCGATTTTGGCCCGCCGAGTAGTCCGAATTGAGCTCCCTTTGGACGTTTCAACCCCATCATTTGGAATTTAATTCGAACACAAGATGCATTCGAACACAAATCGTCAATTCCAAAACACAAACAACAACAATTTAATGAGAAAAAGGAATAAAAAGGCTGCGGGCAGGTCGTGGGTGCCGGCCATTTTAGTGGCGAAAGAGACGAAATTTCGTCTAAAGACAGCTCGTCTAACGGACAAGTAGTCTAAGGACATTTCGTCTATCGGACAACTCGTCCAAAATTCCGTCGCCCCGAGTTGACTTGCTCATATCCGCATCGCACCTGCGTCCGGCAGCCCGAGGGCGCTCACTCGTTCAACGCATTCCCCTAAACCGAAAAACCAACTCACTCAAATCAGCATTCCAACTCAAGCCGGTGGCCCGCGGACCCTCACTCGTTCAACGCATTCCCCTGAATCCCCAAACCAACTCACTCATATCCGATTGTGTGATTGTGTTCCTCTTTCAATTGCGAGGTAGCGTTGTTGCTCGTAGCCACATCTTCAATCAAAACTGCGCGCCCTGGGCAGTCACGGCGTTCGTACCGCCAGTAACCGGTGTAGTCCACCACCCGGTTCCTTGTGTAGAGATGCCCGTGAGCGTGGAGCTGCAACGCCCTTTGTCCGCGAATCAATTCCCTTTTAGGACTAGGATCGCGTTGGCCCGCCTCTCCCGTCGATCCGCCCTCTTGCCTCGGAGGATCTGCTGGCTCCATCGGTCCCAATTGGCGCTGCCATTCGCCTGCCTCTCCCGTCGATCCACTTTCGCGATTTGGAGAATCTCCGCGCTCCATATCTACCCATCGATGCTCCCTTTCGCCAGCCTCTCCCGTCGATCTAATTTCGCGTTTCGGAGGTTCTGATGGCTCCATCGCTGCCAATCGGCGCTGATGTTAGGCTACCTCTCCCGTCGATCTACCTCCGCGCCCTATAGAACCTCCGCTTTGTATTGGCTGCCAATCGACGCCCCACGCTGCGCCAAACCGCGCCACACCCGCCAGCTCGGTGCCTGGACCGGCGCTCACCCTCCTGTGCTGTCCCGCCCCCTGTGCGGGTGCCAGGAACGCGCCCAGGAACCATTTCGGAATGCAGCCCGCCACAAACGAAATGAAATGTAATTGAAGGTTGAATGCAGCTGATGGGCGCTGCGTGGAGGTTGAATGCAGCTGATGGGCGCTGCGTGGACGAGTTGACTCAACCCGTCTAAAGACAACCCGTCTGATGCAAAGATGGAGTCGACTTTGCAATCGACTTCACCATAGGGCAGCTGAACACACGCAACGGCTTTGAGAACAGGTGGTACTGTATAAGTAAAAAAGTTCGCCCGGAAAAAATTTCACGTATTTCGCGCGGAAAAAAGTTCGCGGGGAAAAGCGTTCGCGCACTCGTCGATGCGCGAACTTTTTTCCGCCTCGAACTTTTTTCGCCCGCGAAAATTTTCATAACAGAGAAGTTTGTGTCATTAGTACACAACCAACCCGTGGCCGCGCTTAGGGAGGATCACTCGTTAGACAAGTTGTCTTTATACCAAATGTCCTTAGTTGTCGTTAGACGAAATTGGCCGCACACCACAGGCCGTTGAGTGCAAACACGGCTTGGGGCCTTGGCTCGTTCTGCCCTCGCGATGAAGCCAGCCGCGACTCGGTCCGTGGCGGCGGCGCCTCGACCGACTCCGCCACCAGCACGACCGTCGCGACCCGTCACGAGGCCGCCGAATCGCCCCCTAGTCATCCCCGTCCGGAGCGCCAGCCCCGCGGCGCCCGCAGCGCAGCAGGCGTCGGGATCCGAGTACCAGTGGACCTACCAGGGGCGGCGTATCCCGGTGCCTTATGACGTGATCGGCCGGGGGCCCCCGGGTCTGATGCTCCCCGCCATGAGCACCGTCTCCCTGAGGTCTGAGCTGGCCGGCCTGGCGCAGGCGCTGGCCGACCGGGCGTCATGGACGGTCCCCGATTGGCCGGGCTTCGGCGAGTCCAGCCGCCCTCCGCTGGAATACGGCCCGGACGTCTTCCGAGAATTTTTGGCCGATTTTGCTTCCGCCATTTTTGACGGTCCCGTGCCCGTGGTCGCCGCCGGCCACGCCGCTGGATTTGCGCTTGAGCTCGGGAGGGCGGATCCCGGCAGGTGGTCGAGGATTGTGCTCGTGGCGCCGACCTGGATGGGGCCGTTCAGGGCGATGGGGATGTCGGAGGGCGTGAAGGCGTTCGCGCGGGGGTTGATCAGGTCGCCGGTGGTTGGGGAGGCGCTGTACGGCGCCCTGACGACCCCGGACCAGATCAGGGCCCAATATGCGTCCCACGTGATGGTGGACAGGGCCTTCTTGACGGACGACTTTGTGGCGCGCAAGCAGGGGCTGACGCGCGTGGAGGGCGCGAGGTTCGCCCCGAGCTCGTTCATCACGGGCTACCTGGACCCGTTCGAGGACAGGGAGGGGGTGCTGGATCTGGCCAGGTCGCTGGAGGTGCCGGTGGTTGTTGTGGTGGGGGAGGACACGCCGAGGAAGAGCAAGGCGGAGATGGAGGCCCTGGGGGCGGTGGAGGGGGTGGAGGTGAGGCGCGTGAGGGGCTCGCTGGGGGTGCACGAGGAGTTCCCGCGGGAAGTGGCCGAGGCCGTGTTGCCGTTCCTGAGTTGACTGAAGGGGGTGCACTACAGCGCGGAGTGGCCGTTGGGAAGAGGGAGGCCGCTTTGGGGGTTCAGGGGCAGTTTCTTACCTGTGGGGGTCGCCGCTACTGGCGCTGGTGGGGTTCTGAAATGTCTGGGTGTTTGGATTGGCCACCTGATGGATTCTGCTCAGCAGATACTTGCCCATTACACATAAGTTTGCATGAAGACACTGAGGATGTCATGCACTGCCTGGGCTGTCTCATGAGTGCAAGGCACCAAGTAGACGGAGCAAGTGTGGGCAGCACAGGCAGACGTCCCAGAAGGAGTGCCTTCAAGCCTTCGGTCTGTATGCCAGATTGAAGCATTGCTTTCCAATGTTGCGCCACCTGGAACGGGCAACTCTAAATTCAGGTTGGCAGGTCAGATTCCTGGATCTCAGATTCCTGGGTGGTCATGCAGCAGCACGCAGGCATCGTACAGATGGTCACCGTGTCGAACCCAGCACAGGAAATCTGAGCAATTGCCGTGGATCAATCAAGTTTGCAAACGCTGTTGCTCCACCCATAGTACATGGGAGGCAATGAAGGGGGATAACTGGCGCAGGTACGCACAAAATGAACAAGTCCTGTTACCAGGAAGACTGGTAAGTTCGTTATGTACCTGCCGGAGGCTCTTCGCCTTCAATCGGAACATGAAAATTGTTGGGGCAATCGGGGCTGCATGGACTTGGACACATGTGTGTTGAGCGTTGAACCGACATGCACTGCTTGTTCACCAACCGCGTTGGTGTGGGGCAGGGCCCCCCAACAATCGCTGCCAGGTCTTCACGGAGTTTATGACACATTTGCGGGCGCTGTCACTGTTTTCCACGGACATGATCGTTCCATAGCCTATGGACCATAGGATGCAGGAAACACAGGAAAAACACCATAGGAGCGGGAGTGCCGGCAAAGGGCAAATTCTCGTTGTGTGTGATCGAGCATCCACCCCACAAGGCGCACCACTTGCAATTTTGCAGGCCCTCAAGTGAATTACAACAACGATCCACCACAAATCCATGATACCAGGTACACACACTGAGGGCTGTGCCATTCTGACAATAAAATGTCGCTTCCCCAGCTCATCTGATGTTTCTCACCTCCACAGACTGTAGTCCAGCCCAGGCCTGCAACCTCTCGCAGTCTTCACTGACTGCACTGCATGGAGCCTGGGTGAATGGGAGAGCACAGGCTCAAATCCACCCTTATCTCTTCGTGCACAGTCTTGAGTCAGGAGCATGGAAGCACATCGCCGTTGCAATCTACCAGCCGCTCTCTCGTTTACTGAAATCAATAGCCCCACCCACAATTACAATTAATAATATAAATCCCCCCCCCCTTTCCTTCAAAATCCCTCTGTCATCTGCAACACAGGACCGCAACACCTCGCATGTGCACATGCTGAAATCCAACACAGGGTCGAACACCACCCTGCTCCTCGTGCCTTAATGTCCAATCAACAACTCATCAATGGGGTACGCAAGCAGCAAAAACTCCTGCCGTGCTGACGAAGGAGCGAGTCGAATTGGCGTCAACAAGCAACAACGCATCCAGTTCAGGCGCAACCCAGAGGTCGCGCTGGGCGCCCCCAAGACTGCCCAAGGTCAAAAGTCACTTTCCCTTCATGCAAGGATTCACAACCACCAAGTGGCTCAAGCTCCACAACGCCTGGAACGCTTCTACGGCCATCGACGACACCAACAGCCAGGAATACGAGTCTCCGCCTGAGTCCTCCGTGCCACGGCAAACGAGCGTGGCGGCCATCGGCAGCGTGAACAGGGCCATCCACACAGCAGAGCTGGAGAAAATGGACCAGTGGCTGCGGTCGGATTTGTGATCCTGCCCGTGCAGGTGCCCTTGGTCCCTGCTGCCCATTGAGTCGTTGGCAACAGCCCTGGACGACGGTGCATGCCTCTGAACTACCTGTCTCACTCGTCTTGGAGCAGTGACCACTCCGGGGATGGTGACCACGTTGGCTGGGGCCCTCTCTGTCGGGGGTACTGGCTCAGCCACACGTGTGCTCTCATTGTTGCGTGGGGCACCAGGATGACCTGGATAACCCTCCTTTCGGTATGATTCCTCGACTTTGTCCATCATGAGTTCATTGGCCTGCCGAAAGCCGGACCACTCTGCGAAGTTAGACGGCGTTTTCCCGTCTACAGTTTCCTTCGTAAACCACGATAGGCACACCTCTGCAATCAGGCCATAAAACAGCCAAGCATTAGGACAAACAAGGCACAAGAGAACGAAAACATAATCAGGTCAATCAGTGCCTTTTCTGCAAAGTCGATGTGGGATTATCAACTGATGGGGGCCAATCAGAAGCCGCCAGCTCATTCTCACTGGCCCAGATTCCTCGAGGAGCTGAGTCTGAAGGGCTGTTCCCCAATGCATCAACATCAATACTTGAAAGCACTGCTGAGCTGTAGCCACCTGAGCAGACGCCTGGAGTAGAGGCCTGAATGGGGCAAGACCTGGCCAATTGTCTTGTGCCAAAACAATTGACGCAGACATAGGGGAAGGCAGGGATCTGTGTATCAGTCCAAACGAACATCATGGCCACCAGCACTGAACAAGGTTCAAGTCATGCAACAAGCACCCAACACGACCACGTTATGTAGTCGTCCCACACCTGGCTTGTGCTCCAAGATAAGCTGCAGTGCCTCCAATCCATTGCGGTTCATTGCTGCACAATGGAGTGGAGTCACCCCGTTGGGGCCAGCGTAAGTCCATTCCCACTCGTACTGGAAATCCCTGCCCCAGTCAAGGACAGTCCTCAGCATGATAACATCACCAGAGAGGAGGGCTTGATGAAGCAACGTCATTCTGGATCGAAGAAGAGAAGGCTATCAGTTTGGGGTCACTGGCAAATGGAGCGAAGAACAGAATCAGTGACAAATGATACCAACTAATGGCAAATCATTGCCGGCAGACAGGGAGAGAAAGGGCTGGGTTGAGTGGGCAGATGGTTTGTGTGTATGAAGTCGGTGGCCAGGCATCCGCTTGTTGTTGCTTGGCAGCAACACAATGAGCTGAGCTTCGTTCAGTTTAGTGGAGACATGGCACAATGTCTGCAGATGACAGCAAAGTTGGATGCATAGTGTCACGGGAGCGTTGTGATTCATACCATCGGCCACTGGGAGCAGGACATCATCTCCCTGTTGCAACGGAGATCACGTACTCCCGTTGTTGGGGGAACCTACCCATCTGATTGACTCTGTGCCACGACGCTGGAGAAAGTCACACACCCTATCTGTGCCGCTGGCATTACACATCGAGCAAGGGCAGTGCACCCCCGGCGGCAAAAGTATGAAAGGTATTGCCGCGCAGTTTCGGCAATCATGCGCTTGTACTCGGGTAGCCTCGTTTGATGGTAGTGCTGGACACCAGGGATGTCGGCTGTTTCCGCGATGGGCGACCCAGATTCAATGTCTGCACGTCCTGTACGCTGTGCCTCTCTCTCCTCTCTGATGGTTGTATGGTTCAGCTCCCTGGAACGACGTCCCGAATTGGATGTCTCGGATTCTGCAGGCCCTTCACCATCCCTTGCTGCCAAAAGCGCGTGTGCACTTTCAGTTTCGCCACACTGGCCAGCTCTGGAGACTGAGTGGTCTGTGGACAACTGTGGCGCATCCTCATAGTCCGGATTTGAAACATCGTCACTTTCTGCATCGCTTTCAAAGGGGGTCTCGCCAGAGCCAACTTCGGACAGCTCAGAGTCTTCATCCGATTGAGAAGATATGGATACCGCATCTGCATCCCCGAGAGTGTCTATGTGAGAAAGGACCAATCCCAGCTGTGTGAGGAGTCTGTGTTGTTCAGATGCATTCATGCTGAAAACCAGACAACAATTGAGAATGAGACAGGCCAGGCAGTTGTACCACATTCCAGAAGAAATTGAACCACCTGCATTGTTCATGTGCCCATGCAGAGGGAAGCTCACCCACAGTCGAAATTATGCAACTATGCAACAACATGAGCGTCAAGGTGTGCAGCAGTGTCCCTAGGACAAGTGTAGACAGGCATTTGGCACCAGAGCTATGTGCCTACAGGATGCTAATTCCCGAGTTCACTACATCTCAGGAATGTCCACAATTGCTTGCTGTCCCAATTCACAGTAAAGGTAGCAAGAAGGTCTGTGAGATATCCACTATATGCGCAGCTTCAGTCAAGTCCACCACACACACCACAAAAGGGGATCAATTTCAGCATTGGTTGGCTGGATTATGGATGCAATCGGCAACTGCTCTAATCCTGCTTGAAGCTGGTATGCCCTTTTTAGGTTCAGTGGCCAAGGAACTCCCTGGCTAATGTCGAGGACAAGGCGGTTGACATCAAGGACGTTGCCATCACCAACTGCAAATAACAGCCTTGCGTCAGCATGCCCTGGAAATGAGTGCCCACAGCCATGAGAAGGTAAGAGTAACACATGGATGCAATGGCCCTGAATTCTGGCCTCTTACCTATTGAGAAGAGCATGCACCTCCCTCACCACCTCCACACTATCAACCACCAAAACAGGCTGCGGACCACTCAGGCTGCGCCCAAGTTCACATTCCATGAAGCCCACTCCACAGGATGGCAACCCTGGGAGCTGACATCTACCAAATGTGATTGGGGCCTCGCACGTGCCCTCCAGCTTCAACTGTCCTGCTTGCTGAAGTATGAGGGGCCAATTTCTGCCTTTAAATCTGCAGAACATGGCTGTTGGTTGCAGCAAATGATAGCCCCATACCTCCACACTTATTGCCTCATTCCTCAGCACGCAGCTTGGAACCACCCGCTCGATGGTTGGCCTGCACGGCTCTGGAAACCCTTGGCTGGGCACACAAGGCTGGCCCCCAACCAAGGCAGACCTGTGCTTTCCGACACCGACTACCACAGGGGCCGACCGCACAAATTCGTACTCACGTCCTGGTAGACTGCTGAGGCGCTCAAGAACTGTCTGCATGAGGACGTGTTCGTTCCTGTCATCTGCCTCTTGTCTGCTCGACCCGAGTTCGGTGCTGCTCCTGTTGCCAAGTGGCAAGGCTGCCAAACCGCTGTCACTGGTGCTGGGCTCCCCTTCGCCCTGCGACAATCTGCGCCCGCCAGTGTCCACGGTGACAGCAGCGCTCACAACGTCAAATATGAAATTCGTGCAGCCCTCTCTTGCAGACGAATCCACAGTAACAAATTCTTCCGGGAAGGCAGCAGCCAGCCTGCGCATGATGTTGCTGGACATGTCTGGTGGAAGCTCACTTTCAACCTTCAGATTCACCCTTGCTGTTATCCTGACAGACGCCCCAGCCGAACTTGAATCACCAGCACCAGCAGGCACAGAGGGTGTAGTTCCTGTGTCGCAAAACAGATTTTGTGGTGTGTACGTTCCGTTCTTGAGAGAGCCTCAGGCCATGGACACCAGAGTCACTGAACAAGTTGTAACGGCACCAAACAGAGCACACATTTTTTGTCTTGCACAGTTGGTTGACTGCAAGAACTGCAACCATGAAGAAGATTCTGCGGTGCTGTAGAAAAGTCCCTTTTGGGCCTGTTAGCAACGCGGGCAATCGGAAAACAAGTGTGCCTCACATAGCACAACAAGAGTGCATTGTCGGAATACAATACCTATCATCTGACGAAGCATATTGTATGATTCGCAGGCATTGGCAGGGTGTGCTTGCTGTGGTTGTCCTTCCCTTGGCATCTGGTACACACAAAAAATATTGTCTCAGTCACTGCTGGTGCAACGGCAGAGAACAGAGCCCTGTGCATGTAACTGCCATGCTACCTGTGTCCTGATAGCTTTGTTTCAGAAGGGTCATTCAAAAGGCCAGTGCTGATGATGGTACTTGCTGATGTCCATCCAAATTGAAATGCCACAATTGCAGTTTTGTTTCAATTCCCACAGAAGGCTTGGCATCCCCGGGACAAAACATTTGCATATGAACAGGAGGACATGAATAAACAAATGGCTTGGCACAGGTGCACAGATTGTCAGTACTTTATTCCTCCATGGATTGGCAAAATGGATGGATGCTGTCAAGTACATTGAGCAACCAGCCTGAACAAAGCTGTGTCGCGCAAGTGGGAGTAATGCGCTGGCTAAGGCAGATTGCAGGTGTCCTCGCGTGTTGGACAGAGCCATACATGCTAAGTTACTTTCCTCCTAATACAGCACGATGATGACAACAGTGCATTCCCTGGTATAGATGTACTTCCAGAACAGAGCCTGACATGGTGAGCCTGTCATATAGGCATGTGTCAGGCTCTGCACAGACCCACACACCATCGCCCTCACCTGCATTCCCTGCATCGATGGTGCACCTCGCTGTGGTGGTCCCGGGAAAGGCAAGGCTGTGGGCAGTGGTGGGGGCGGCAAAAGTGGAGGCGGCAGCAGTGGATTGTTGCCCTGAACGCTTGGAGCAGGATTCTGCTGTTCCAGTGCCTGTTCAGGACGTTGCCTGTCTTCTGGTCTCTGTTCCGCTGGATTGCTTGGCTGCTCGTGTCCATGCCGTGGCAGCTGTGGCCGACCCTCCTGGTTGGGAGCCCCTTGCGGGAGGTGACGAATGACATCTGGCATCTGGCGCAGGTGCTGGAGGTACGGAGTGAGGAGATAAGGATTTTGGAAAGACATTAATGCCGGGTCCACCATCCCCACTGGGTTGTGCTGGAATGACTCCATCAGGCTCCTATGGATCTGCTCCTGGTGTTGGGCAGAAAACGGTGGCAATTGGCCGAATGGTGGCAGCCCGGGAATCCCAGGAAAGGGAGGCAGTGGTGGGTAGCCTGGAGGAAATCTGCCCATCAGACCCTGAGGGGAGAAGGCACCTGCAATACCTGGGAAAGCTATGGGCATTGCCTCTGGACGTCCAGTTCCTTGAACAGAATCCATGTTGCGCTGTTCAAGAAGGGCCAGCTGCTGGGGCGATGGAACCCCAACGGGTGGGAATGGAAAGTCCTGCGCAGCATGCACTGGGCCCAGGTTTGCAGTAGAAACAAGTGGCACAGCTGGCCAGTGCGTACTCTGATGCTGCGATTTCTGCACCTGGCTCGGGGCAGAACAGTTGAGATCTGCAACCTGCAGAGCATAGCTGTGCGGCTGCTGCCCACCAGCACTTTGCATGCCTGCACTGTGCACAGGCTGGGCTGCAGGGACTCCAGCAGGATATTCTGCAGCTCCTGCCATGGACTGAGAGCTGTGCACACCACTCGAATGGCCCGATTCCACGCTGCGCTCCTGAAGGGTACGGGCTGGAGCATCCGAAATTTGCAGTCTTGGGGGAAGAGCATCAGCAAGAGGAGACTGGCCAGGCAAGTTCCAGTCCGTGTGGTCACTGTAGCTCACAGGACTTGATGACCTGGGCCCTGTGCCACGCAGCAAGCTGCTGAGCTCAATGTCAAATGCCTCTGAAGGCTCCAATGCAGGTCCTCCCTCCCAGCAGTCTGCAGCTGGAGCAAAGAAGTCGGGTTCAAATGGAACCAGTTCTTCTGGCAGGGTAGGGAGAGTGGCTCCCGATGTGCTTGTCGCTGCTGATACAATGCTCTGGACCTGTCTGGGTTGTCCAGGCACGGGATTCAGGCCAACGGCCTCAATGCTCAGAACATTCTCCACAGCCTCTGCTTCTTCCTGTCCAGGAGCCATCAGCACAGTGGGCCAACAACAACGCAATATTCCCTTCAAGCCGCCATGAGCGAGAGCATGTGTCCTGCCCAAATTCTGGGATCCTCAGCGATGGACAGTTCTCTTGCCAGCAATACAACTGACCTGTTCAACATTGCTGCTGATATGTTGTCCATTTCAGACAGCTATCCCAATGAGAAACACATTTGCCCCTGGTTAGGTAGACACATCTTGGCACGACAGATTCACAGGTAAATAACACGTTCTGGAAGTTAGATGGCATCAAGCTGCGATGATCCACCTTCAACGGCCAACCACAGGCCCCACACATCACAGGGCTTTCTGAAAACTGCTGGGAAAAATCGACTCCAGTTTGTACAGCCAAGGACTCCAACCACAGCCCTTTTCCAGCTCCAACATTGCATGGGCACCAACCAGCTCACAAGATATCGCCAGGTGCACCTGCATACTGTATACACCTGCATATCATTTTGATGCCTCGACCAGTAAAATTGCCTGCAGCATAAAGTTGACAGCTGCCTGAAGCATAAAATTGACAGTGGTCTGACGTGCAAACATTTCTGAAGTACACACTTGACGGTTGGACCAGCTTAACTGCCTGACGCATAAAACAGCCAGAATACTGGCAAAACGGTTGGCCGCGGGCTCATGCTTTTGTGCTTCATGCCTCGTGTCGCAGGCGGATTGCTGGCCGGTCGCGGTGCGCAACGCGGTGTGCTCAGTCCGGCCGCCCTGCTCGAAGCCGCTCGAGGCGCCCCGGGCGGTAGGCAACCCGGGGCTGCCAGCGGCGCCGGCGCGCCTGCGACGACATTGACCGCAAGGAAAAGGCACAAAGAGACGCGCCGCCCTCGTCCTGGCCAAGAATGGTGCGCTGTGGTCGTCGAAGGCGAAGGAGGGCGTAAGCGCGATCCAGTGACGAAATCGCGGAAAAATCTGACGGATAGAATTCGACAGCCCGGGCGAATCCGGATCGCATCTGGCACGTGCAGAAATCACACTGGGCAGGCAGCGGAATGAGCTGGTGCGCTGATACGCTCCGATTCTTTTGTGCAGACTGGTCAGCGTTGCAATCGTCTACGGGTGGTCGCTTGTGACGTCCCACGCTTGATCCGCGGATGCGCGGCGGCAATGGACGGCACGGGCCCCCTTTCCGCTGCCCCGAGGCGATTCTGCAAGGGACCGTGTGTTAAAGTGCATGGATATAGACGGCGCGGCGCGGTGTGCAACCTCGAGCTTTTTCGTGTGCATTTTCGTGGCGCTGTCGCTGTCATGGCAGCGAACGATGCCGTCGTCAATGGGCGCGAAGGCTCCTTGTTACGATGAATCTGCGTCAGCTAGATCGGACGCCGTGAGCGGTTGGCATGCGCGTTGATCACCGTCGTTACAGTGACCAGCGACGAGTGTGTTTCCCATGGCATGCATCCGCTGCTGGGACAAAGGGGCACATCAAGATGGCCCCATGTTGTGGTCTTCGCAATACCATTTTCCACTTCACACTGCTTCCTGTTGCAACATACCTAGTCGCCACACAGCGAGGGCTAGATGCGCCACAGACATGGTCCATCCACAGCAGGTTCTCATGAAACTACAGCAGGCTGGACTGCATTTTGCCTTGTGAAGGCAAATCTAAACCAAGGAATTCAGCTAGACTGCAGGTCTACAGCTGTGAATGTCAGTTGGGGGAAGGAGAACTTGAAAGGTTAAGTTGATACATCCGTGCTAATACCATTATTGTGGGATGGAGCATGTTTTGTTATGGAGGAATACAGTGGGGTGGCCCATTGCCACAGCTGACCTGCTGCTGTGCAGCTGCGGCTTCTTTCTGTTGCTCTTGTGCAGCAAGTCGGAGCTTGCGCCGACTGAATTGATGCCTCCGCAGACCATCAACACAGCTCCTGTGATTTTAAGACAAAGCTGATGTTATTGGTCCAAAAAGCTTAGAGCCTTATTCATCCAGACACGTACTTTGGCAGATAACTCCATCACTGAGCCTTGCCCTTTCCTACAGCACCTCAAAGCAAAATGTGACATCTGCGGAGTGCACCAAAAGAGAAATTCGATGAACAATTGTGTGCGTGCCATCCCAGCAGATGTTGCTATGCTCCTCTGGCAAAGGAAAGGGATAGCACAGAAGTCCAGGGGAAACTGCACAGTCGATCACCTGTTTGTGCCACTAAACTCTTCCAATGGATGAAATGTATTGTGCTGCTGACAGAAGCGCTGCAGTATTCCATCCACCAAAAGGTGGTCCATGGACAGATGCGCCTGACACATGCGGTGACGCTTGTAGTACTGTTTTTCCTCAGACAAGTCGATTCCACAGCCTTCAACCTGCCAGAAGATCAGCATGCAGTCAGACAACTACTCATTGAAAAGATGCCCACAAACTCGAAAGGCTGAGTTCATTGCATGCCTTGGCATTTGAACGCAGTGGTGCCATGTGTGCTGCCCCAAAACAGGCATTACCATTGGCGGGCCTTGTCAGCACAACTCAGCAGAAGTACACACACAGCTCCATAGTAGGCTGACCTGGCAGTGGAATGGCCCACGATGTCCCTTCCGTGTGCTGATTCTGGGAAGACGTTCTTCGGGTGCATTCGTGCCCACTCCTGCCACCCATTGTTGCCCATCATCGGCTGCAAGTCAAGCAATGTTAATGGTCACATTCTCCATTTCCAGCCAGAAGCCAATGAACTCCTCATCCTAGTTGTTGGCAGCACGTGCCGATAATTTCACGTGCTTTCTCAAAGGAAGACCCATAGCATGCCGCTGGCAGGCCTTGCTTGTGCAGCTCCCCAGCTGCAGGCAAATGCAAGTATGCAAGCTATGCAGTGCAATGGAGGTTGAACTGCGCTCTGCTCAACAGCCTCCACACTACGGGCGTTTGACTGCGTTAACGCCAACATTTTCCAGTGCGTGCATTTCCATGCCAGTCTTGCAGGCCCCGGAACACGGACGCTACCCACCAAATGGATATACCAGCCATTATCCCATTCCCCATGGATATACCACGGAAGGCCGCAACACGCACTGTCGTGCCAGGGCAGCCAATCGGCATTCACACCCGTCACCAGTGCGCAATATGGCACGCCTGAGATAGCTGCAGACGATCAGCGGGGGCGGTGCCGGCACGGGAACTCCGCGGGGCCGCCGTCTCTCCCCGTCCCGCTTTCAAAACGCTTGGCAACATCTACGATGCATCAATGACGGCCCTGATGGTCACACACATCGCCGAGCCACGCAGATGGCCTCGCTGCGGTTCCACGGCGCTCGACGCCAATCTCAGCGCCCTTCCCGCATCACAGCACGTCTATTCTCAGCTTTGCGGACCCGGCCGCGGGTCAGTACCTTCTGCCGGCTGCGGGCTCTGGGCGGGCTGCTCCGCCCGGGCCGGCTCCGCCACCACGGCGGGCGCCTCGGGCTGGCTGTCCGCCATCATGCCTCCCAGCCCACCGTGGGGCCCCCTCCTCGACACAATATCAATGCACGCCGCTCCCGAGATCGAACCCCCGATGCGGACGGCCCGTGCCCGGAAACTGCCAACACAAATCTCCGCCTGCCGCCTGACGACTCCGCCAGGGCTCCGCCCGCGTGCTCTGTGACTGGGCTGATCCTGGGGCTGGCCGGTCCGCACAGTCGAAACCCAATTTCAATGTCACCGGCCCTGTGGCCCCGCCGCCTTGAGAGGGTAAGGTTTTACAGCTGATGCCGGGAGGCGCGGTCTCCGTGTGTCCGAGGCGCCATGGCCTGCCGTCCCTGCCTGGGGCTGTGCCTGTGGGGCGTCTGCGCGCGCGAATTTGGTCCCCACCCGCCAGACGCAATCATGAGACGCCACCGCAGCTGGGGCCGGCGCCGTTAAACCGGTCGAAAATATCCTGCCCCCTTGCGGCCTGGGGCGGGGCGGGGTAGGGGTGTGTTACATGTCGTGCGTGGAACCGGGACAATGGGCGTTGGGTCGTACCCAGGAGACCGGACCCTAGCGGCGCTCCGCCACCGGACTGGATCAGTCCGGCCACAGGACGCGGCGTGAATCCATGCTGACTGTTTTCAGGATGGGTGGGAGGGGGCCGGCGTGAAAAGGGGGAGGGGGCGGGGTATTGGCGAACCGGCAAGGCATGGCGTCCTCCCTGTTCGCGAGGCACATCCTGGGAGTGACGCCCGGCGCGTTCGAGCTGCGGCTGGAGCTGGCCAGCCTGCCGGACCCCTCGCTGTTCGTGGGGTCGCCGCGGGGCTTCCGCACGGCGAGCGTGATCGAGTGGACGGACGACGATCTCGATGCGGACGTCCTGGCGCGGGCGAGGGCAGCGATGGAGGCCTGCCACGGGGGGCTCCTGCTGGAGCGCTGCGAGCTCGCGCTCACCTTCAAGGATGAAGGTGGCGACGAGTCAGGTGGGACACCGGCCTCTGGGCATGCCGCCACCCTCTTTTGAATGCCAGGCTCTCGATTGGGGTCCACATTACCCCACCGAGCTGGCATGCCGCGATCTTGGGATGCGGGGTGCTCCCGATGGGATTGCCCACGCTGATCGGCGAGGGTGCCTCACATTTCGCAGGCCCGCCGGTGCGCGTTGATCTGTCCGTCGCCCAGGCGTTCCCCTTCGTGTATTCCATTGAGCTCGCCAGGACCAATGGCTCCGGGGCGCCCAAGGGGCAGCTGGTGGCCGACCTGCTGGGGCTGCTGGATCTGAGGCATGCGCGAAGGCTGAAGGCCGGCGCGGGGTTCGGTCCCACCATTTGGACTTCCACCAACATGGCGAGGTGGGAGGCTCTAACGCATTTGAGCCTGTCCTCCAGCGGCGTGGGTGCCCTGGATGACGCCCTGGGTGCCCTCACCACGCTCCAACAGCTACGCCTGTCGAACAACAAGTTGGCGGCCCTGCCCCGGGAGGTGGGGAACTTGAAGGATCTGCGTGTGCTCGTCGCCGACCACAACCAGCTGAGCTACATCCCTGGTAAGGCGGGGCGCCAGGTGCTGTGATTGACTCGCCCCTGGTTTCTGCCTTTTCGCTAGTCTGTCATTGTCTCGAGCGAAACTCTGCATGCACACATGAACAACACGTTAACCATGGCGGCTGCCTGCAACAATCCACTCGAATCCGCTTCCAACTGCTCTTGATGATTTCTGACTGTCGTAGTGTTTCATATCCGCTCTGCTGGGAAGCGAACAGTGCAACGCTACAAGACTGGAAAACTTGCGTTGAATACTGCAGGTGCCAGTGCTTGGGCACATTCGTTGGCTGAGGGATTCTTTTCTCTGCAGTGGACCTGTGCAACTGTTCAGAACTTCGTGAGCTGAACCTGGAGCATAATAGGCTGACAACACCGCTGCTCGACATGAAGAGACTGTCAAAGCTTCAGTCTCTGCACCTTTATGGCAACCCACTGGAGTATTTTCCTGAGCTTTCAGTTTGCACGACCCTCCGGGCACTGTCGCTGGCGAACCTCCATGTTGTCTCAGATGCTGGATTTACTCGCTTCGAGGTGCAAGTTGGGGGATCATCGAATCTGTCTGGTGGTGGTCAGAAACTCACCCAGTTCTTCGCAATCATATTTAGGCGAAGCTCGTGTCAACATGCCCTTCTGGCTGGAGCCTTAGGTGAGTTTGCTGCCAGGTCTATGCAAAGAGATGTGTGCTGTTTTTATGCAAGGGCAAACCATGGAGCAGACAACGCCTGCATTAGAAAATCTCCTGAAAACTCATAGCACCGGATTCCCAATGCGCCCTCGATTATTGCATTTTTGTCAGCTTTACTGTTGTGTTAAAATTCCCAGCTGCAGTGGAGGACTTTATGCCCTCTTTCTGAGCAGCTAAATGTTTCAAGTGTGCTGTTTTGTCTTGGATGCGCATTGCTGTGCTTGCCATTCTCGCTGTGCACCTTTGTCCTAGTGTTCAGCTCAGATGTTTGGGAATGGATGTCGAACTGCCCCTCTGTGCTGCATAGGCAGGCCGAATTGCAGAGTATCATGAGCACCGTGAGAGCATTGTGCGGGAACAAGGTGCCATACAGCAGCTCATTCTCATGTCTCTGAGCGAAGATGAGGTGGTGCAGAAGCAGGCTGCTAAAGTATTGGGTAAGGTCTTAAGGAACCCCCCAGGATTTGGTCGATTTCATGTCTCCAGAACTTGGTAAAGCTGCCATCCTTTCTCCTGCTATGCACTGCAGGATTTTAGTCTGCAGCCGATGGCTCTCATGCTTTGAGTGCAACTGAATGTGTATTGTTCCAATGCATTCTTTGTGGCATTACACCTTGAATTGCAGCTGAGAAGATGAGCGCTGCCCCTGGCCTTGATGGAAGAGATGGGTGTGTTATGCCACATCGAAAGCCAGGGTCACAAAGTGGTTGAAGGCCAGTGGGCACGCTGCCTGCAGGTTGCTTGGCTGAAGATCCAAAGATGGCTGAAGAACTTTTTCGCAGCGATGTTCACACGCCCATGATTGGGCTGATGCGGTCATCGAAGCATGTAAGTGGCACTACAGCCAGCAAGGTTTCCCAGGCCCGACAAACGGTGTCAGCAGCATTGATCGCCAATGGAAACACCATGCGGCACACTGCTCCTTCCTGGCAGGTGCTAAAGGCTCTGATCGACTTCCTTAACTATGCTTTGTCCATACACCAGATCGCTGCCATTGGCAGCTAATGGCAACCACATGCCTATGCACAGAACATGCTGCGGCCCTGATGTGATGTGCCTTGTCGCAGGATCTTCAAGGGGGGGGCCTGCGTGTGCTTGCCAGCCTTGCACTGGCATCAGACATGGTTTCAGCGTGTCTGTTGAAATCTGAGATGCTGGAAGCACTCCAGGAGATGATTCGGACCCCCACCGCTGCCTCCGTTCGCCATCTGGCACTGGAGACCCTAGGCAACTTGGCCTTTTCTCAGGATGGCAAAGCCACCTTGGCAAACGTCCCAGGCATGCGAAGCATGCTCATCGACTTGGCCGAAGGACGCGGCACTGATGTGGACAGGAAGACACGTGTGTGTTCCCTGCGTGTGCTTGCAATACTTGGTAAGCTAGGCAGTGGCCTCGTGTTGGCAGTATACTGTGAATAGTGTTGGACAATACGGTATTGTGACATGAAGCATTGAGACATTATTGGACATGACATGTGGCAGTATGCAAAAGATGCTGTTGCCGTGCGTGTTCCAGCTTTGAGTTGGGCTTGCTGGCACACATTTGAATGTTTACTTGGTCTTCCGTGCCAGTGTGCATATTGAACCAAAATGTTAGTGCCTCACATCCAAATGGCCGTGCAGCTGGCTTCGTTGTTTTATACGGACGTGGAGAGCTTGTGCATTGTCTTGATGAATTATTCTACTTTCCTTTAATTCGCTGTGCTCCAGGTCAACTTGACGAAGTGTGGAGAATCACTGGCCGTCCCAACGTCAAAGGGCGTGGTGTTCGAATCTTGACCATGGACGGTGGTGGAATGAAGGGAATTTGCACTGTGGCCCTGCTCCGCGAGATCGAGCGCAGGACAGGCAGGAGGATTAGTGACCTGTTCGACTTGGTCGGTGGCACAAGTACAGGGGCAATGTTGGGGGCTGCCATTGGGCTTCGAGATTTCACACTGGACCAGGGTGCAGACATTTACAAAAAGTTGGGCTTCAAGGTGTTCAGCCAGCCCGAGGAAGAACAGCCTGGCTGGAAGGAGAGCCTTTATCGGTAACGATGGGCAAACTGCAGCTGTGTTGTCCTTTGGTGTGTTCTCTGTCCAATGGAGGCTGTTTGCTGGCATGGATCAGCATGGAGTAGAGCTTTTGCTGCATGAAGCTTGCAGCTGTTATAGATGTGCCTCGATCTGAAGCATGCTTAGTGGTGGAGAATGAGGCCAGGTGGCAAGTGTCTCTGTCATATCTCGCATATGCTGTGGCCACCTGTCAGCTGACGCGTAGAAGAGCGGGATATGGTCACGTTCAGAAAATATAATCACTGAGGATTGGTGCATAGCCGCCATAGATATTCACGTTGGTATGTGTTCAGGATGTACCGAAGTGGTCAACAGAGCATTCGGGTTGCGATGACTGGCTGCAAACACGATGCAAGCACATTTGAAGGTTTGCTTCAGGACTTCAGCAGCTTTCCCCGAGATTTTTGCTTGAATGATGCCTTCATAGACACAGCCTGTCTACCCTTGCCCAGATTTTTTGCAGTGGCGACCTTGTGCACAGTAGGTGACCTTCACTGCAGACGTCCACATTTTTCTTGTTGTACCAGTTTCTGCGTGTGCTCCTGTGTTCTTCTCCTTTCTGTTTGTACTGTGTGATCATTTGCGTCCATCTGTTTGTGTTTATTTCCAGTCTTTTCCCACCTGCACAGCACTGGTCATACCTTATCTTGTATGTGGTGTCTTTCCTTCTGCATTATGGGGATTCGCTTCTTTTGTTCTCTGGAGTGTAGTAGTGCTCCATGCTGTGTTGAGCGTGGCAAATGGCCTGGTGGGAATGTGTGCCCCTGCAATACCCTCGAGCATAGTGTGTGTGTTTTTAATGATGGTGCAACAGTGCAAGCAGCTGAATGGGCATCTAGCACTATTTGCTGCTGGGATTTTATTGACGTGACCATACACAGTAATGCCATGTAGTTTCCTGCCATTGCAGACTGTGCCTTCCGTTCCATACCTGTTCAGGAATTACGAGTTTCCACCTGAAAGGAACGAACTTGTGCGAGGGTTGAATGGCTGCCTTGGGAGTTCAAAGCACCTTGTCTGGGAAGGTGAGGGAAAGGCTTTCGGTGAGTATACTGTGAGATTGGCAACATGGAGATTCTTCAATATCCCCATCGTGGGGCTGCACAAGTCCTCCAGACATGCAGAACTTTGACAGTCTGCATTGTGCCCATTTTTCAGCTTCTGCATGCATGAATAAGTTTTATGCTTCAATGCTGTGTTCATGGTGTGAAGGACTCTTTTTGGGCTGAGGGAACTGGGCATCTGCTGTCGTTTGTCCAACCTATGAGTGCGCTGAAGATTGTGTCGATCTCAGTATGGCTCATCAATCGCGCGGCCAATTCGTAGCTTTGCCTTTGTTGAGTTGCCATTCCACCCACTGACCTTGGATGCATTGATATCTGACACTACACTCCTACGCTTAGTGTGTTTTATTATCCTGCCTTGTGAGGCGCCCATTTTCCTTCTGCCCCAAGGGAGCCAGTGATCCATGGTCATGTGGAGTAGTTCTGTTCTGCTTTGTTGGTCATTGCAGGAAATCGCGTCAGCACTGTGCACATGCAGCACTTGGAGAAACAGACTTCCTCAGTGGGGAGAAATTGCGATAATATGGAGCTGTGTTGAGAGCATCCTTAGGGGCTGAAGTGTGGTGTTCCTGCTTTTGTGAGGTATTCGAGCATCTTCTGCTGCGCCATACTACTTGGTAGACTTCCAGATTGGTGACTCTCGGTTCCAAGATGGCGCTGTCATCGCCAACAATCCAACAGCGATTGCCATCCAGCAGGCCAGGCTGCTGTGGCCCGATGCGCCCATCGACTGTGTTGTGTCTCTGGGAGTGGGCTCTGTGCCAAGGGCCCAGCGTGAGAAGTCCTCCTCCACTTTATTGGAGAATGGAAGCATTCTGATTGAGAGTGCCTGCAGTGTGGAGAGGGTCAATGAAGCACTTCTGGCTTCACTGCCCATGGTGCCAGGCCTTAAGTACTTTAGGTGAGGGAGCTGTTTTTCTTGCAACACAGCCATGGCTGGTGAGAGCACTTGTATGCGAGCAATGATGCATTGCTGCAACACCCTTTGCTGTTGGGATGCAAGTGAAGCTCTCCATGGATGGGTCAAACTGAAGTGAGAGCATTTTGCATGGATCTTTTCGTGTGGATGAATTATATCTGATGTGTCGTGTTGTCAGATTCAATCCTGTAGATGTTCGTTGCGACATGCCCTTGGATAGCACCGATCCTGAAGCATGGACCCGGCTTGAGGCTGCCACAGCAGAGTACATCGAACAAGAGGCTTCGCGGTTTGATGAGGCAGCGACGCTCCTTTGCTCCAACTTAGAGTGCAGCAGATCTGTGGCAACAGCGCCCGATGCCAGCCGTGTGTTCCTGGGCTCCCGGCGAACCATCACAGTCGTTGATTGCCCCCTGCCTGGAGACACGTCTTGGCCTGTCGCTGTCTCTAAGATGTGCAAGGGCTTTACTCAGTGCCTTTATGCATGCACACGGGGATTCCCTTTAGAACTCAACGACGAGTCACCAAGTAAAGAGGAGCAAGTTCGTGATAGTGCTGCCGCCCAGAATGTGGTACCCATTCTACATGAGCCATCCCTCAGCGACTGGAATACTGAGCGGCAGAAGCACAATGCATTCAATTCTGAGGTTCCTCAGGCGTCTGGAGACTGTGTTGGCTTGCAGACCTGTTTTGACCCATCCAGTATGCCTAAGTTTGCAGCCAAGGATGACTACCCATCAGGTGCACCACTTTCCAACATTCAAACACCATTTACCAAGTGTGATGTGGCGCTGTCAGGAGCAGCATCGCCAGATTCGTTTGGTGAACAATTGCAAGGTGGGCTTTGGGTAAATGACAGCCTCTGTTTTGATGTACTTGTGTGCTGAGTACTTGTCTGCCTTATTTTGCTGTCTTCTGTCACAAGGTGAATGGTGCAGTAGTCACATTCCATAGGGGCCACAACCCCACCCTGCAATACGACAGAGTCATGAATCATGGCCACATGGACAGCCCCAAATGGCCTTGACGTTCAGCTGGACGACGCTTCCTCAGAGCCTATCCAATCGCTGTTGAGCGGCTTGCCCATATTGTCATATCCATCGATTCCTCCCATGGGCTTGCCCAGTTTCAAAGTGTCCTGTTTTGTTCCACAGACGATCGAGGAATGGACAAGACGTCGTCCTTGCATTCCTTGCAGAGTTTGGGCAGCGCCAGTGTGATTCACTTGGGATTGAATTCCTTGGACGGCAACGTTCTGGTGACAGAATGGGACAGCAGCACCATTGCCACGGCCGAGCCAGGTATGGAAGATCTGTCAGAACTTTCCAGGTGGCACAATGTTCGCATTTTTGTGACTCTATCTGCATATTTGCCTGTGTGTCCCAGTCAACAAGCAGAGGCAGTGCTGTTGAGCTGTTTGAACAACTGTGGAGCAATTTGTGTTTGTTGCAAATCCACGGTCATGCAGTTTTTCCCTGATCCAGCAATGTGTCACAACTGGGTTGCAGGGCACAACCTGCTGAATACAGTGTGGTGGTCCTGTTGGCCCTTGCTTTGCACATGTGCCCACTGTCGAGTGCATCAAAAGTGGTTGCAAGCAAGTACACAGCCCAGTCCATGCGATGTCGCTTTCAAGTGTATGAGGAGTCGCCGAGGATGCGACCATGGAATTTTGCAATCGAGTCAGCTGCAAGCACACAGGACAGCTTTTGGCTTCAATGTTCCCTCAGCCAAGGCCATCAGAAATGCTCCCAACTGGGAAGAAACGGGTCTGATAGCCCTGGAATGGAGTGTTGTGCACTGAAAACGAGCATGGAAGAGTAGGAAAGATTAAATCGTTAAATGTCCATGATGACTACCTGTTCAGGGCCACTCCACACAACTGATGGACAAGGTGGCCTGCACTCGAAATTGAGACAGTTGTGCTGTCAGCCCCCACCGAACTCTGATGTCATTTTCAGAAGACGAATGCTCCCTGCTGCTGCTGACGGTTCCTACATGTACTGCCACCATAATGCCGTCATTTGTAGGCGTGCCACCACCATCAACACTCCCGCCACTACTTGTGGCGAAAGTGGAATTTTCTGCAGGGCGTTTTGTGGTCCTTGCCGCACGGCTAAGACGCATGCAGCAGCACTAAGGTGCTTAAAGTACTGGGATACCTTAGCGACTCAGGACAGAGGTGACGGCATCTCAGTCGGCCTGTCACCAGGTATACTAAACCTGCCCCCCCTGCTGTTTCCACATGTGGCTGTATCAACATTCTATAGACCCAAATGGCGCGGTGACACCCATGTGCTTGCGATATGGGCAGGGCAGCCCTTGTCACAAGCCCTTGTGTCGAAGCTCACTTCAGACACAGGCTGCAACTCCCTCGCCGAGCTGTGCTGCTCGAGGCGCAAATTCTATGTTGAGGGCGCACTGTACTGCCTGCTGGCCAAGCACGAAGTGCAGACGCCATCTGGGGACTACACATCGGACTACATGTTCCAACGCACGAGACCAAGGAGCTGGATTGGGCCCGAGGACTTGATTAAGTTAGGAGACTGGAGGGGGGCGGTGGTCGTCACAACGAGTGCGCTGAGCAAGGCCTTTGTGGACTCCTTTTTGGACCTTGGCGTGAAGTCGCTGGTGGCTCCTCGCCTGTTGGCATCCATTGTCTTGAGTCCAAGGGACGGCGAGGCGTTTTTCAGGGCTTTTTATGGCGGCCTATTTGAGGGCGATGACTTGCTGAAGGCTTTGAAAGCCGCGGAGGCGAGGTGCCCATCGCTCAAGGACTTCTTTGAGATTCACCTGCCGCGAGAGTGAACGGTAATGGACGTGGTGCTCTGTTGGGAGGAACGACCGGGTGGGATCTTGGTAATGATTGCGTTCAAGCGTTGCTGTGTCGGCCTTTGGGCGGCTCAGCTGCGCAATGAGCCTTTGGGCTGCGGCGACCCCGTGGGTACGGGAGGCATTCACGATGGCCACGCGCGGGGAAGACAAGTCTGTCACTCACGATCCGAACCCATCATTACAAACGAAGCGAGTGGTATTTATAGTGCGATGGTGTGACAGGTCATGAGTTGTTGTCTCCAGAATAACCACTCTGGCCACTTTCGCGAGCTGGCCGGGTTCGTGTCCATTTCTCATGCCAAGTTTCTATTCCCGCCGCCCAGACCAACTATGATCCATTGCCAACTAGCCCAGCAGCTACCCGCGTACACTACCCCCTCCCACTCTCCCTCACTCCCACACTTCCTCAGCTCCTATTCCCGCCGCCATCCCCAACTATGATCCAATCCCAAAGCCGTCCCCGTTCATTCACTACAGCCAATTCCCCTTAACTGGCTCCCCTTTTATACGTACAACCCCACTCCCCACAGCACTATCGGCGCAAGTCGCAACGTCCCCGGCGCGAGCAAAAATCGATCATCGGCCACTGCCCCCATTCCACTCGATCGGATCATAGACAGATGCTGCCATTCTTTCCATCGCTCAATGGCAAAATGCTCCCCGGCTCTGATGCACCTTCACCTCCGAACCTTCACCTTCTTGGCCGCCTTGTTGGTGGGAGACCGCTGCCCACTCCGTCATCCTTTGGAGCTGCTCCGAATCCAGCTTGACGCTTGATTCCACGCTTTCCGGCCACTGGCGCTCTGGTCTTTGGATCCGCAGTGCACAATTTGACGTGGTGTCCCGCAAAAACCTTCGTGCATCCTTTTCCCGGCACCTTCACTCCAATCGCTCCTTTGGCGCCTACCCACTTGACGGTGGCAGGTCCAGCCCATCGTGGTGCTAGCTTGTGGGCCCTCTTCTCCATCCAATAAAGCACATGATCTCCCGGCTGCAGGCTGGTCGTGTCCTTATGCTCCCAAGCACGTGCAACCTCCTGCCGCTGCAACACGTGTTGGTGGCGCAGCTGCTCCAACTTCGCCAATCTCGCAGCATTGTCCCTATCAGTGTTCTCGCCCTCCTCTAGCAGTGATGGCGCTATGTCACACTCAGCCAGCACATTGATTTCCATTGGGCCCCTGGGCAGAACTCCGTACAACAGTTCAGCTGGCGATGCATTGCGTCTCCGCGTGCGGCGCGTGTTGATGGCGAAAAGTGCTCCCACCAACAGATGGTCCCAACAATCTCCTTCGCACATCTTTCTTAATCGCACTAATACTTCCTGATTACCCCTTTCGACCCTTCCATGAGATGGGGGGTAGTATGCTGCAGACCAGCTGCGTCGAATCCCCCATTTCTCGCATAAAGTCTGGAATGCACCGCGGAAATGCGCTCCGTTATCCGTATGTATCTTCTGCGGGATTCCAAACTTCAAGATGATCTCGTTTACCACGAATTCCACCGTTGCAGCTGCGGTCGCGTTGGGATACGCACGGGCCATCATATAACCCGTCATTCCGTCAATCGCTACGATTATACAACGGTTTCCAGCTGGCGTCACCGGCATGCCCAATATCCAATCGATCTGGACCCGCTCAAACGGCTGCCTCGCAGCCACCGGCACGCGATTCCGTGAAGCCTTCTGAGGCCCATGTTGCGCGCAGCGCATGCACTTATCAACCCCAAGCGGTGACATCACCTTTCAAAGTGGGCCACCAGAATGCCCCTTCTAGGCGCTTCATCGTCACCTCTTTCCCGTAGTGGCCCCCAAGTGCAGAATCGTGGGCTTGTCGTAGGGCCTTTGGTACTTCAGCCTCTAGAAGGCAAATCGCGTAGGTGCCACCTGCCATGCGCTTGAGCAGGCGTCCGCCTTCCACCTTAAACTCTTCCGTTGAAAACACTTCCCTCATGATGCCCTGATACCACCCGGAACTCACAAACCGCTGAATCCCGTCAGTGGGGATCGCTGCCATCTCGTCCTCCGGGTCCAAGCCCACTTTCCCTTCGCATTCTCCCATGCACAACTCAGCACATTCAGACTGGTTATCACTCGATTCAATGGACATCTCATCGTCCACTTCCCTGGCCCAGAAATGGAATTCGTCATCATCAATTTCTGCAGCATTAGGTACGATTTCTGCCGCATTTCCTGCCCTCATTCTGGACATTCCGTCAGCATTGGAATGTTTCTGCCCTTTGCGCGACTGGAACTCAATATCATATTCTGCAAGTATGCATTTCCAACGTGCACATCTCCCAGTCAGATCACGTTTCCGCAGCAGCCCCAAAATCGGGATGTGATCGGTTCTCACAACTGTGGTTCGGCCTAATATATATGGCCGAAACTTCACCACAGCCACCACCACTGCCAACGCCTCACGTTCAGTCACTGAGTATGCCCGTTCTGCACTCGTCAAAGGGCGTGAGTGATAATACACAGGGTGCTCACTGCCATCCGAAACCTGAGAAAGTACAGCCCCCACCGCATCGTTACTTGCATCGGCGTCCACAATGAAGGGGCGATTGCAGTCCGGTTTTGCCAACACCGGTGCATGGGTGAGGGCCGATTTCAGCTCCACAAAGGCCCGCTGGTGTGCATCGTCCCATGTAGGCAGCTCAGCGCCCCGTCGCTCTGGGGTCACCTTGAGCAATTCGGTCAGTGGCTTGGAGATCTGGCCGAAATTCTTGACAAAACGACGGTAGTAACCTGTCATGCCAAGAAAACTTCGCAGCTGCGTTTTTGTGACGGGGATCTCAAAATTCTCCACTTTCTCCACTTTGTCCTTCAGCACCGCCATGCCCCTCGCAGAAAGGGTGTGCCCCACGAACTCCAGCTGCTCAAACCCAATAAAGACCTTCTTGGGTTTGAGTTTCAACTTGAACTCCCGGGAGCGGTCCAGAAATGCGCGCAAATCCCGAGTGATGCTGTCCTCCCCCGTGTGTCCAATGCCCCCATCGTCCACAAACGTCCGCGTTCTTTCCAACCCACCATATGCCCTTGCTACCAGGCGGC